GTTTTTCTTTTTTGCTTATGTGGTGCTGAGGAATCGAACCCAGGGCCTCAGGCATGCAAGGCAAGCACTCTACCACTGAGCCACCTTCCCAGCCCCACTTCTTTGCTTTTTGTTTTTTTCTTTTTTCTTTTTGTGGTGAGATGGGCTTTGAACTCAGGCCTTTGTGCTTGACAGGCAAGTGCTCCACCATCTAAGCCACATCTCATACCCCTTTTTGCCTAGACTGGTCTCAAAATACAATGCTCCTGATCTCTATACCTCCTGAGTAGCTAGGATTACAAGCATGTGCCACCATACCTGGCTTCCTCCCCTCTTGATTCACCATGTATCAAGTGTTTATTGTGGTATAGATGCTGGGCATCATCCCTGCTCCTTAGGAGCCCGCAGTTTTATTGGGAACATGGGGAAAGGGACAAACTCTGACAGTATAGTGAGGCAAAGGCTGTTAGTAAGTTCTGGCTGAGGTGATGGGGGAAGCTCCTGAGGGAAGGCCACTTTGAGAAGATGAGCCAAGGAGGATGAGACAAAGAGGTGAAGCCTAGGAACAGGAGCCTGACACATCCTTACTTTAGGACTTTAATGGACAGTTCAACAGTGCCAGAGCCTTAGTTGTAAGGAGAGATGGACTAGAGAAGTGGGCGGGGCAGGGATAGGGAAGATCTCCAAGCTTGGTTCTTCTCCCCATTCAATTCTTGGAAGTTTCCTGACCTCACATGCCCTGCCAGGAGGGATCTAATGTTCTCAGTGCTGACCAGGCTCTGACCACCTCCAACAGAACAGATTCTCTATTGTCAAGGTCTCTACTTACTAGTTCCAACACTAGACTATGTGCATTCCTTGAAGCAAAGGCTTCTCATGATCACCTCTGTGGTGTTAGGCTTGCATTGCATGACAACAGAAATATGTGTGGTCAGTGGCTAACCAAGCAAGGAAGTTCAAGGTCGTGGTGAAGCCTATGGGACCTGAAGCCAGGATGTCTCCATGAAGCCTCTGACTCTGCCCCTGTGGCTGTGTTATCTTGGGCACATTCCCTCTCTGTCAAGTCTGATGGAGAACACTGCCTCCCTCATAAGTTATGGGTTATTAAGAAGATCGCATGAGTAAGTGATATATGTGCATTTGTGTAAATACTTAGTTCACACATCTAATAAGCTTTCAGTGAGCATTCAATAAATGTTAACTCCTGTACCTAGTAAATGACAGCCAGTAGTCCTAGAACAATAGTAATAAATTAGTGTCAATTGTGTTTGGTTATGGTCTGAATCTGGGCCTGTTTCCTGTTTCACAAAATATACCCTGCATTTCTTTGGTTTTACTGATTGATAGTGATAGTGATTGTGGTGCTAAGTATCAGTACCTAGCCTCACACATGCTAAGTAAGCTCTTGACCGCTGAGCGAAGCATTCTGCATTTCTCATCCATTCTCACACTGCTCTGCAGGAGTCTACATGATGCCCACCCCTAATACCCAGACCCACCCACAAGCCTGCATTCAGGCTACAGCATTTGAACTTTCTTTGTATCTGTTTGAATTCATGATAAATGTAAAAATTATGTCACCTAGACACTGATTATTTTTTGAAACTCTTTGATCACACATTTGCAGTGTATCTCTTGTTTTATGACATTTCTCTGGATGCTTTGTATAGTCTCTATGTGTTTTATACATATGTCTACAATATATAGAACTAAATCTACATGTGTCTATGTATATGTATGTGTGTATATATAAGTATATATATATATATATATATATATATATATAAACACTATCTCTCATTTAACTGTGGATGATCACTTAAAATTCTGTATTTTGGCAAGGAATGATGGCACCCTTCCTTGTGAGCATCTTTACTTTCCTGTCTGAGTCTGATCTCCTTTTCAGATGGTCACATTCTATGGTTCATCATTGCTAAAAAGTTCTGTGCCTCCTGGGGAACCACTGGAAATTCAAGGTGCCAAGAAGCCTGGTCTTGTTACCAAAGCTGGACTCGTTCTTTTTGGGAATGATGGAAAAGCAGTGAGTGTTCAATATATTTGTCCATGAAATAAAGGTTCTGGTTTCCTTCTATAACCCCAACTCCTGAGGGAATAGCTTTTCCATGGTCATGTGGGATGTGAAAGGTGTGGTGTGTCCTGACAAAGACAAGGCCCCTTGGGGCGAGTCCCAGAGACCTACACAGTCATCTTTTTGACACTGAAACAAGGATGTGGACTGTATGGTGCTACTCATTAGCCTTGAACAGGATGGTTTTCCCCTGCATCTCAGTTACCCCATCTACAAAGCAGAGAAGATAGTCAGGTCTCCTCCCACAGCCAACGTCTTGGAAGATGTGGTAGTGTGCACATGGCCCCTGCTGAGGCTCACTGCATTTCTTGCTGGGCATGAGCCATCTATCCATGTTTCCTGTGCTCAGGGAAACCACTGAGGGCCTCAATAATGCTCATGGACAGTTTCCTGTAAAAGAAATCTGTCGTTTATAGAGGTTTCCACTGGCTGAGATTTCTTATCCTGCTACTCTGAAGTCTTAATCCCAGTTCTGTTGCTTCCTGTCTGGTAGAAATTAGATAAATTAGTCAACCTCACTGCACCTGTAAAATGAGCAGCTGCCTCCAGCAGGATTCTTGAGATTAAATAAGACATTTTAGCATATATCATATGGATAGCACATGATACAAACCAAGTGCCCGGATGGTAGTGACAGCTGAGCTGGGGTAAGTGGAGCTGTGTGTTTGTTATGATAGGTTTCAATTCCTGTTTTTCCTGGGCTTAATATTTAGATGTATCTGCCCCTGGACTTGACTTCCTCCTTTCTGGTGCCACTATTTAAAAAGCAAGAAGCCATTTAGTCCTTTTTTATATCATATTAACTACTTTTAATCCATGTTTTTATTTTCCAAATAAACTAGGTTTGCCTTACTCTTCCTAGACAAGTATACCACTGAGTCCTTTTTTGTTCCCCCTTTTTCTTTCAGATTTTATTTTTTCATTATACCACTTTCTCCCAGGCCAGCCTGACTGCAGTCCTCCTGTTTCTGGGCTTTCAGGCATGTGCCACCAAGTGAGGCCTCAGAATAAGTTGATTTTTATTCCTATGTAATAGGAGACTCCATCTCCTGCCATTCTTATTGTGGAAGACCCGAATCCTCATTTTCTTGTGTTTGTTTTGTTGCTTTTGTATAGCTTATGGTGAGAAATCTACAGTTTGAAGATGGAAAAATGATCCCAGCCTCTCAGTACTTTTCGGCAGGGGAAATGTCCGTGGTAGAACTTACAGCTGAAGAAATGAAGGTGGCAGAGACCATCAAGGTAAACATGATGGCCTTACTATAGCTGACCTTGGAAAGCAGAACCATCTTCATAACTGGTATCGATGTCCTCACAGTCTTGGGGCTGGAACCTGTATTTCCTATTTTTGTATAAATTGCAATAGGAAACCAACTCCAAAATGTATATGCTCATGCAGAGTATGAACAAATTTATTTCTCACCTAAGGAATCCAAGGTAGTTCTAGGGAGGGCTTGGAACCGAGGGGTGAAACTGGGGACTGGGTTTAGTAGTGAGATCATTCAGTGCTCAAGCCCTTCAAGGTCAAAGGAGCACACAGCATTTTATGTGTGTTGTGGGGCGATTTCCCACAGACCACCCTGGTGTGGTGCTGGCCACACCCACTCACATTCATTGACTTTGTGGAGCTATGTGTATGAGCTGAAAAGGAGGAAGTTCCTGGGTGAGCTAGCCAGCTTCTGCCACATAGTTCTATGTGGAATTCCTCCTAAAGTGTCCCTTTCTGTGTGTGTGTGTGTGTGTGTGTGTGTGTGTGTGTAGGTAATCTGGGCTGGGATTTTAAGCAACGTCCCTATGATTGAAGATTCCACAGACTTCTTCAAATCTGGAGCAAGCTCAATGGATGTTGTGAGGTAAAACCTTGGTCTGCTAACATGGGTGCTTCCATGAACGATTCTGACCTTTGACCTTGGGTCTGAAAAATCAGATCTGAATTCCTCCTCTCAGAGGGCTTCATTCTGTCATGTCTGTCAACTGTAAAAGTCTTTTTTTTTTAATTTCTATGTTAGACACATATATCTGCCTGTTTGTTTTTACTCATTGCTAACCACGTTGTTTCTGTATCTCTTTTAGTCTTTCTAATTATTTGCTACTTAACTAGCAAAAACCTGGGGGTAGAGTTGTAGTATAAACAGTAGAGTACCAGCCTTGCGGGAAAAAGCTAAAGGACAGCACCCAAACCCTAGGTTCAAACCCCAGTAAAGGTTAAAAGGAAGAAAGGAAATGAGAAGAGAACGGATTTTTTAAAAGGAGTGAAAAGATTGGCTAGAATTTCTCTACAAAGGTTTACGGGAAGCTGAGTGGCTGGAGCCCCAGTAAGTCTCCTACTTGGCAAGGCAGGTGTGCCAGCCCCCTAACAACGGTGCAGTCATGCACTGGCCTTTTTCCTTTGAGTACCTGGGATATGAGACAGCTGGACACACAGCCTGGGGCTGTGCAGTCCTTTGGTGATATGAGCAGAAAAAAGGAGCTGAGGAGAATTCAGTCCCCTTCCCACACCATGGCCAATCATTAATTTTTCTCCTCCTGACACAATCCTTCCTGTCAACACAGAAATGTTCCTGAACATTCTATTTATTTATTTGTTCATTTATTTAACAAAATTATTGAACACTTATTACATATCAAGACCATTTTGGAAGCAGGGATGCAGTGCTGAACTAGACAAAGTTCTTTGATTCATCGAGCTTTTGTTCCAATAACCACAAATAATATTTCCAAGAGCACCCAGAAGTATTAAAAGTCAAGAGTTTTGTTCCTTAAATTATAGATTTCTCAACAATGATTCATAAGTGCCCAGAAACTTCTCATTAGCTTCAAAAAGACTTCAATACTGCATTTTTGATATAATTTTTTTTGCTAGTAAAGTGCCTACAGGAATTACTCATTTCCTGTTTGAGTGTCTGGCTTACCATAATCATCTGCTATCATCATGGTAACCAAGGCACCTCGTTTGTTTTAAAGGATAAATTACTAGAGAACAGTAACAGTGCTGGGCTTTCCATACTGTACAGCATATACTATTGCTAGTCAGGAATTGTCAGAGGCTTGGCACAGCACCTTATCCGTGTAATCCCAGTTGCTCGGAAGGCAGAAATCAGGAAGATCACAGTTCAAGGGCAGCTCAGACCAAAAGTATAAGGCATGGCTCAAGTGGTAGAAAATCTGCCTGGCAGGCAGTTCTAATCTCAGTACTTCTAGAAAGGAAGAGAGAGAGGAGAGGAACGGAGAGGGGAAGGAAGGGGAGGGAAGAAAGGAGAGAGAAAAAAGAGAAGGAAGGAAGAAAGGAAGGAAAGAAAGAAGGAAGGAGAGAAGAGAGGGAGGGAGGAAAGGAGAATGTCCATATGACATTCATTTCTCATAATTTTGATCTTTAGGGAATGGTCTTTCTTATTCCTGAATTCATTTGAAAGGAAAGACTTGGCTTGGCTTGGCTTGCTCTTTACTATCTGGCTTATGTTGCCATGATTTCTTTTATAGTCATGGGTAAAGTTAATCTGGAAAGAAAGTCACTATCTTTCAAGGCAGATTTTTAATTATCTTTACCTAGTCTTAATAACTTCTGTGCTTAGCACTACAGAACTGTAAAAGCATGTGACTAGAAGTCTCACTTGACAAATGAGACTACCACTACCAGCAAATGTTGGTAACAGGTCTCATACATCTTTTGAAAGATGCCAGTAACCTGGATCTTACTTCTAGGCTGGTTGAAGAGATCAGACAAAGGTGTGGTGGACTTCAGTTACAGAATGAAGATGTCTACATGGCCACTAAGTTTGGAGACTTCATTCAGAAGGTTGTGAGGAAACTGAGAGGAGAAGATCAGGAGGCAGAGCTGGTGGTAGATTATGTAAGTGTCCCCTTGTTCAAACTCTAAAACAATGCTGGGCCTTGCATCCATTGGATTTACATTTTAAGATAGAGTCTTGCTATATAGTCCAGGCTGGCCTAGAACTCACTGTGTAGTACAGTCTGACCTCTAAATCCTGATCTTCTTGCTTCAGCCTCTGAAATATTGGCATTACAGGTGTAAGCAACCATGCATGGCTATTTGCAAACTTTTAAAATAAGTCTTACTGAGATGAAATTCAGATGCTATATAAAGCACTCCTTAAAGACGATCAATTTATGGTTTCCGGGCCTGCTGCTCATTCTTCTGCATGGCCTTTACTTCCTCTTTTAAAATATCACCCCTGAAAAATGTACATCTCAGGCCAGTGCCTGGTGGCTCACGCCTGTAATCCTTGCTACTCAGGAGGTGGAGACCTGAGGATCCCAGTTCAAAGCCAGCCTGGGCAAGGAAAGTCTGTGAGACTCTTATCTCCAATAAATCACCAGAAAACTGGAAGTGACACTGTAGAGCACAAGCCTTGAGCTGAAGAGCTGAGAGAGAGTGTCCAAGCCCAGGGTTCAAGCCCCACAACTGACCCCAAAAAAAAGAAAAGAAAAAAAGGACATCTCACTATTTTAGAGACAGTCACAGCTACCACCCCTTCTATCTAATTTTGAAAGGTTTTCATTACTCCTCAAAGAAAGACTATACTGGCAACACTTGATTTTACACTCCCTATCTCAGCTTCTTGCCCATCTCAGTTTTTTCCCAGCTACCAGAAATGACTGATCTCCTTTCTGTCTTGATGGACTTACCATGTCTAGACATCAAATGTAAAAAGTTCCCTGTGACATGTGTCTTTTGTATCTGCTCCTTCCAAGTGTTCAAGGAACGTGTTTGCATTTTACTCCCCCTACTGGCCAAATCTTCCATTGCATGGGACATGCAAAGGGGTGTGTGCTTTCATTAGTTTATGTACATTTGGGCCATTTGCCCTTCAGCCTGTTAGCAATGATACTGTTATAAAAATTCCTCCACTTTCAGCTAGCTGGGATAAACACCCAAAGAGTGGAATGAATGCAATTTTTTATTTGCACTCATTAATGACTATTGAGCATCTTTTCATGTGCTTATTGGACATTTGACTATTTTCTTTAGAGAAATGTTTATTCAGATGTTTTGTCTGGGCTGGGCATGGAGCACACACCTGTAATCGCAGCACTATAGAGTCCAGCCTAGGCTACATAATGAGACTCTGTCTCAAAACAGAAACAAACCAATAAACAACAGCACCAAAACCCAAATCCTTAGTCCACCTTAAAATTGGGTTATCTTTGTATTGTTGAGTTTTAAGAGATCTTTGTAGATATTTTGGGTATTAAATTCCCATCAGATATAGCTTTCCAAAGACTTTCTCTGATTCTGAGGCTTTTTCCAACACAATTCCTTTTTAGTTATTTATTTAATTTTTTATGTTGTTAATTGTGAAAACACTGTACAGAGGGGTTACAGTTACATGAGCAAGGTAATGAATACATCTCTTATCAAGCATTGTTGCCTCCTCCTTTGTTTTCCCCCTACCATTCCTTCCCTCCCATCTCCACAGCTACACTCCCCTCCCCCTCTCCTGCCTAAATTGTAAAGTTCGTTTTTCAATATAGTGTCTTGTATATCTCATTGTTGCAATGGGTCAACCTGTATCCCTATTTAAACATTTTGTTTTTTCCTTTCCCCCTCTCCAAGTTATACCAACATCAATAACCCCTGTGTAAACAGGAGTTATACCGTGGGGGAGGGAACAATTCCTTTTTATAGTTTAACATACTTTAATAGCAGATATTAAAATGCATTTGGTAGTAACAGGTGAGAAGATAGCCCACATTTCAACCATGAACTTTGCATATAGGACAACTTGGACACGTACAGAGAATGGATGGAATCTATCTATATAGTTGCTGTCAATAAGAACCTTTTTTTTTTTTAATCCAGATGCTGGTACTGTCTGGAAAAAAATTAGCAGGTTTATTTACAATTAGCTGTTGTAAAGTTAAACTGCTAAGACTCATACACTGAAACATTTTTTACTTGTATTAATGATTTGTAACCCCCTATATATGTATGTATATATGTATCTATTATTTACAATGTCTTTTTCTTGGTTTCTTACTCATCGTCCTGATAATTGCAAACAATCTAGTGGGGCTGGGAACGTGGCTTAGTGACCTAGTGTGCATGAAGCCCTGGGTTCGATATACAATATAAACAGAAAAAGCCAGAAGTGGTGCTGTGGCTCAAGCTGTAGAGTGCTAGTCTTGAGCAAAAGAAGCTCAGGGACAGTGCCCAGGCCCTGAGTTCAAGCCCCAAGACTGGCAAAAAAAAAAAAAAATCTAGTTCAGATTAACCAATACCTATTTAACATCAGTAGTACAGAAAAACTTTGCTGGCATAGCACTCTGTCCTATACCCCCAATTTAGACTATTACTTTCATATAAATTCCTTCTTTGTGCTTTTATAGTTGGTGCTCCTTGAAATTTGTATTTTATGTCAGTTAGAAGGAAAGTGTTAAAAGCAAAAGTATTTGCATACCAACTTCTGTATTTACCTTTGCCAATGTGCTTTTGTGGATTCAAGTACCTGTCTAGAAGATAACAATTTAAGTAACACTCATGCAACAGAAAGAGAATGAAAACTGAGAGGAACTTAGAAAACTTCAAATGGGGGTACCAATGTAAAATGAAATGAAAGCAATGCCAGTGCTTCATCAAAGCCACCACTAGATGGCAGTGTCTGCCCTCTCCAGTTGCCTTTCTTGGTAAGGCCATCTGTATGATGAATGAGCACCAAACCCAGCCTAGAGGCTTCTTCTTCTTCTTCTTTTTAATTGTGAAAATACTGTACAGAGGGGTTACAATTACATGGGCAAGATAGTGAGTACATTTCTTATCAAGCATTGTAGCCTCCTCCTTTGTTTACCCTTCCCATCCCTTCCTAGCCGCCCAGCCTAGAGGCTTCTGTAGTCCCAGGCACCAGCTTCCTGCCCCAGTAGCCATGAAGCATCCAAAGGCCCAACTCTCCTTGCCCTTGTCCCTTCTGAATAGTAGGAACTAGAATGCCATTTACTGAACTTCTCTCCCTGCATTAGAGAATAGGCTTCTTTATTGCTACTCGGTATCAAGTGGCTACATACAGACGTCATTGAATCTGTTCCTATAACCCTCAGGTTTCAAAGGAGGTCAATGAAATGACAATTAAAATGCCATACCAGTGTTTCATAAATGGGCAGTTCATGGATGCGGATGATGGAAAGACTTATGACACTATCAACCCAACAGATGGATCTGTGAGTAATGAATGACCTAGCATATGGTGAGAAAATGCAGTGCTAGCAAGTCACTTTGTCACTCTGACTCCAGGGACTCTTTGGCCATACCTCATGCATTGCTTTCAACCATTTCATCCTTGTAGTGGCTAATGCTAAAGATGGTTTCTGGGATAGGTGTTTATGAGGAACTTGGCAGACAGGTATGGTTGTATATATGCAATATAGACAATTTTCTCAGGACTGAAAAGTCATAGCAAAAAAAATTTTCAGCTTCCACAAGATACTAGAAAAAAATGTATAGTCTTCCTACATGTACTCTTCCCCAGCTGTAACATGGGAAATACCAGATTTCAGCTATGTGATGTCCAGGTTGAGATGGTTTCTTTTTGTTTACCTATTATCAGATATATTGATTTCATAAACACCTTCCAGATTTTGTGAATGATGTTTGGTTTTCCTACTGATGTAACACTGGATCCAAGAACCATACACGACCTATTTTTATTTTCCTGAATTAGACAATCTGCAAAGTATCTTATGCATCTCTGGTGGATGTTGACAAAGCTGTAGCAGCAGCCAAGGATGCCTTTGAAAATGGAGAATGGGGAAGAATGAATGCCAGGGAAAGAGGAAGACTGATGTACAGGTGGGCTTTTTGTTTTTCTTAGAAAAGCCAGTCTGTGACCTTCAGGTAACATTGCCAGAATTGTAAAAATAACTGCAAAATGTTCTAGTAAACACCTATTACATAATGTCTCCTATGAACCGAATCATATGAAATCTCATATAGAGGAATTCCTGGTGTTGGCTTTATTGCTTGCATCAGGCAGGGCCCTAGTAGAGGGGAAAAAAACCCATTCAGTAACCAGAGATGTGGGCAAGGTCCAGGGCATCTCATAAGGGATAATGGAACACCCAAGGCAGGATTAGCAGTGAGGGAAGCTGCCACTTCTCCATGCTCTGAAAGAACAGGAAGAATCTGGCCAGATCCAGGGCTACAGAAGATGACCCTAAAGTGGTCTTAGGTCAGGGGGACATGGCAGCTGCTGCCATCCAGACAGTTGGGAAATTGAACCCCTTAAGCACACCATTCAAGTTCACACATCTACAGTGCTTCCTAGTAAACAGGTGATATGGTCTAGAAAGGGCATACTCCAGGAAGAAGAAGAAGGAGGAGGAGGAGGAGGAGGAGAAAGAGGAGGAGGAGGAGGAAGGGAAGAAAGAAGGAGGAGAAGGAGGAGGAAAAGAAGAAGGAGGAGGAGGAGGAAGAGAAGGAGAAGGAGGAGGAGAAGAAGAAAGAAGAGGAGGAGGAGGAGGAGGAAACCCAACTGTATTTCAATACGGTCATTAATTTTCTTGCCTGCTTTCCTAAACTTGAATGACTGACCAAAGAAAGGATTTGTCAGAACAAGATCTAGAGGAAACATGGGGCAGGGAGAATTCCATGTCTGACTCTAGAATGGCCTAAAGGGAACAGCTTAGACACTCCAGCACGAAAGGAAAACAAGGGCAGATTCTGACTTTTTCACAGTCAGGCATTCAACACTGAACAGAACTCAGCTGTGACGTTCGTTATTCATCCCATGTTTCCACCTTGTCCTCTCTGGTTAGTTTTGAAAACATTTCTATACCACAAGTGTTCACCAGTCCTTAGCGTACAGCTGTCTCCGACCTTTCCCTGTGTCGTCACAAGCTACCCACAACCCTGCTGCTTCCTCCCTTGCCATGGCTCTGCTACTTTTGTTTTTGCCAGTCCTGGGGTTTGAACTCAGGGCCTGAGTGTTATCCCTAAGCTTCTTTTGCTCAAGGCTAGCTTTCTACCACTTGAGCCCCAGTGCCATATCTGGCATTTTGTGAATAGTTTATTGGAGATAAGAGTGCCACAGACTTTTCTGCCAAGGCTGGCTTTGAACTGTGATCCTCCGATCCGATCTCAGCCTCCTGAGTAGCTAGAATTACAGGTGTGAGCCACCACTACTTCCTAGGCATACCTGAACCCTCTGCTTCACCTTTACAACTTTTTTTTCTGATACTGGGGACGGGGGGGGGGGACGGGGGGACAGGAGGGGGATGGGGGAGGGGGGGCCAGGGGAGGGGTTGTTGAACTTGCATTTCCTCAGCTTGCTTGGTTTGCTGGTGTTTTACCATTTAAGCCATGCATCTATCCTCAGTTTTTTTTTGCTGGTTATTTTGGAGATGGAGTCTCGTGGACTTTTTTTTTTTTACCCAAGCTGGATTGAAATCATGATCTCAGCCTTCTGAACAGGTAGGCTTACTGGCGTGAGCCACCAATGCCCAGCCTTTTCAACACCTGAAACAAATCATTTATTCAATTGCTTGATTACTTTGTCTTCCCCACTGGGCCATGAGAGCAGAGACTTGGTCTCTCTGTGTCCAGCTGTGAATTTTCAACCCTCAGATGGTGCCTTATATTGATAGAGACTTTGGCAGCAAATTAATTTCTTTCCCTGACCATATAGACTTGCAGACCTACTGGAAGAAAATCAGGAAGAGCTGGCCACCATAGAAGCCCTGGACTCAGGTGCTGTCTATACCTTGGCTCTGAAGACGCACATCGGAATGTCTGTGCAAACCTTCAGATACTTTGCTGGCTGGTGTGACAAAATTCAGGTGAGCACCAATATTCTTTGTTTAGAAAGGAAAAAAGGCTACATTCATTACTCTGTGGCAGGTACTGTGTCAAATGCAATTTTTATATAGCTTGTCTTACCAAATAACATGATTTAGTCTGTTTTGTGCTACTATACCAGAATACCCGAGACTAAATAATTTATAAAGAACAGAAATGTATTCTTTCATGACTCTGGGGGCTAGGAATTCTGAGATCAAGGTTCCCTCAGGTTTTGGCTCTGTTTGAAATTGAGTTGATTGAACAATGGAGGGGGTAATATTGATCAAAATGCACTGTACTTATCAATGAATGTTTTAGTGAAGACCCTTTGTACAACTACTAAAGCTAATATAAAAATTAATAGTAAGACAAGCAAAAAAGTCAAAAAATTGATTTGAATGGTTCAAACCTGCTTGCTACCAAAACCTGACTTGAATGAATGTGAATCTATTTTTAATCTTTATGGATATGACTCAGAGTAAGCATTCCTATGTTTTACTGATTAAATATTAATGCATTCAATTATGGAGGGTTTCCCAGGACCCTACTGTGGATAGGAGATAGTGTTGGAGGTATGCACTATATTATGTTTCTAATATTTAAAAAAAAACCTGCATCCCTTAATAGAACCTGGCTACAAGGTTTTAAGTGAAAGACTGTATCAGCAACGACATCTCCCTTAGCAGGCCAGGAAAACAGTTTATTTAAAGGCTACTATTGTGAATTGCTTGGGATTAAGTTTGACTGTATGTAACAGAAAACCCAAGTCAGAAGTTTATTTTTCTCCCTTTCAAGAAGTCTAAAAGCAGACAGAGCTAGTACAGGAGATGTAGGTTCCTCCTCTTTCTCTTTTTCAGGCTATCATTACTACATGTGACTTTTCTCAAGTTAGTCTCATGGAATCATGATAACCACTACAGTGCCAGCCATTGCAGCAACATTCTGAAAAGGAAGAAAGAGGCAGTGGGAGCTTCCCTTAAAGGAATTTCCATTGACCACTTCTATCTGCTGTGGTGACTAGGACACTGTATTTTATCTGGGCATAGTGCTGTCTCCATTTATCAATACTGGGGTTCCACTACTAAGGAAAGGTAGGAGAATGGATATTGAGCAAACAACTCACATTCTAGGCCATGTGTAGAAACTGGGAAATGGAGGATAACTGACTTAGAATTATGTCTGTTTTCCTATGTCTCATAGTTATTGTGAGAAATAGTCCTTTCTTGCATAGGAATGTATTTCTTATGATGTGAACAGCACCTTTCCATATTAGCTAAGGAAAAATAAACAGAGGTCAGGAAACAGATCCTTTGAGGTTAAAGTTATTCATTTAAGTTAGTAAAATAAGTAGCAACCTTTTCTACCCTGTAGGGTTCTACAATTCCAATCAACCAGGCCCGTCCAAATCGCAATCTGACCTTCACCAAGAAGGAGCCCATTGGGTAAGATGAAGAGAGCGCCCTCCAGTGATTCATGGTGGTCTCAGTGTGAGAGAGTAAGGATGTGGGCTTTCTCCCCTGCAGTGTCTGTGCCATCATCATCCCCTGGAACTACCCGCTGATGATGCTCGCTTGGAAGAGCGCTGCCTGTCTGGCAGCGGGTAACACGTTAGTGCTCAAGCCAGCACAGGTGAGGTGTCGAGGGCCAGCACCCAGCTAAATGATCATTTTTAATCTGAGAGTTAAAGACACAGAGTTTCCATTTTATGTGGGCTGGTCTTTATTGGAAAATACCAAGCAACAGTGGTATGAAATCACTTACAGTGTCGGACCCTATGAGAGCATGGATTCACAACGCCTACCTGGTTACACACGGGAAAGGATCTCCCAGCTTTACATGCAGGAGGCAGGAGGCGGATCTCCATGGCCTGTGGTGGTCTGGTCCAGATCTAATAGATTCTGATGATATTATTATCCTAATACTTAGCAATGACCTACTCATGTCCAAACTAGTGCAAGATACTGTCCAGGTATTGTGCAATTCTACAGCCTTCCAAATTCAACGACAGCACAAAAGTACAATCAGTGCAGGCAGGTTGGTTACAAAGGGTAAACCATTGACTCCAAAATGAGAGCTGGCAGAGAGTCAAATCTTTGCAAAGTGATCATAGTTAACACTTCCAGGCCTGGGATTGTTCTGCAGCACCTGGCTCCAGAGTGGACCCATAAAACCAGCATCCTCTGGGTATGGATTATATTATTGCCCAAGTGCATGACATGAATCTAATCATGAAGCAACTTTAGGCAAACTCAGGGTAAGCAATACTGGGTGAAATAACCCCTCAAAACTGTCAGTGTCATAAAACAGAAAATTCAGACTCTCCCAGATGAAGGGATGACAGAAAAAACAAACTGAATGCAATGCATAATCTTGGATTTTCTTTTGTAGTAAAAGACATCATTAGAACAACTAGGGAAATGTAAATAAGGAATGTAGATTAAGTTTTCTATCAATTATTCCTTTCTTAAGTTTGGAAATTTTCCTTTTGTTATGTAGAAGACTTTTTTTTTTTTTTTGGTCAGTCCTGGGGCTTGAATTCTGGGCCTGGGCACTGTCCCTGAGTTCTTCACTTGAGCCACACTCCATCACTTGAGCCACAGCACCACTTCCAGTTTTCTGGTGGTTAATTGGAGATAAGAGTCTGATGGACTTATCTGCCTGGGCTGGCTTTGACCCACAATCCTCAGATCTCAACCTCCTGAGTAGCTAGGATTAACAGACATGAGCTACTGGTGCCTAGTGTAGAAGACTTTCTTGGTGTTAAGAAATGTGTATAGAGGGCTGGGAAAGTGGCTCAGTGGTAGAGTGCTTGCCTTGCATGCATGAGGCCCTGGTTTCCATTCCTCAGCACCACACAAGCAGAAAAAAAAGCCAGAAGTGGTGCTGTGGCTCAAGTGGTAGAATGCTAGCCTTTGAGCTGAAGTGCTGAGGGACAGCACCCAGACCCAGAGTTCAGGTCCCATGACTGACAAAAAAAGGAAGGAAGGAAGGAAGAAAGAAAGAAGGAAAGAAAGAAAGAAAGAAAGGTGTCTAGAAAAGAGACAAACAGGATCTTATATGTCTTAAACAGTGCCTCCACACCTCATCATGTCCTCTAGGTAATCAATCTCCTCTATGTATTTACATGCAGACAGAAGGTAAAGCAAATGTGCAAACGATTAACACTTGAGGGGTCAGAGTGACAAAGATGTAAGGAATTCATTATACTATTTTGGTATCTTTGATGTGAGTCTGAAATTGTGTTAAAATAAAACTCAAACACGGTAAAGTCAAAATCAAATGAGCTCTTGGACAGCCATTAAGAGAAGCTTTGTACTAGTGGATAGCAGGGGCCAGAGTCTGAAGATGGTAATTGCTGTTTGTCTCTGTCAGGTCACGCCCTTGACTGCTTTGAAGTTTGCAGAACTGTCTGTGAAAGCTGGCTTTCCAAAGGGGGTAATCAACATCATTCCTGGCTCAGGTAAGCCCTCTAATGACCCAGTTTTCTATAACTAACGGATGGTATGGGGTTGGCTGATTGCTTGTTTTCCTGCTGGGTCTTAGCCTGAATTAAAACTAAATACAGCTTACCAAGTAAAAATACATTTACCAGGTGCTGAAACTCTTAAAGTGGAAATACAGTATGGAGACAGGGCGTAGAGAAAATTATTCTGTAAAACTTCCCTAAGATAGTCTATTTGATTTTGAGTAACTACTTTGGAAAAATCACAAGCAAGGCTTACCCATTATATTAGTCAGAGTCTGCAACACTGTGACCAAATACCTGACAGAAATAGCTTAAAAGGAGGGATTATTTGGTTCATGGTTCCAAGGGTTCAAATCGTGGTCACTTGGCCCCATGAACTTTGACAGAACATCATGGCAGCGGGACCACATGGCAGAAGAGAGCTGTTCACCTCATGGTAGACAGGAAGTAGAGAGCAAAACTAATGCAGAAAGGGCCAGGATAAGACATAGCCCCAAGGACATGTAGCTAATGACCGACTTCATCCAAGCCCTACCTCTAACCTTTCACCACTGCTCACTAGTGCCTTCAGATTATGAATCCATCAAGAGAATGCCCCATTGATTAGGTCTGAGCCCTCAGGACCCAACCATTCCCCAAAAGCCCAACTAAGCCCCAATAATGGAGCTTTGGGGACACTTTGAATTCAAACCACAACATTCATCTGCATTTCTGGGGCAGACAATTGCATGAGGCATGCGATTTTAGATTTTTATCCATTTGCAATTCATACCAAAAATGTAAATCTGAGATTTAAATGAAAGTCTACTAGTCTATTTCAGTGAAGTCAAAGATACTCTAATGTAAGTAAGACCTGAGTCATCTTTTCATTCATGCAAATATAATTCAGGTGTTATCCCCTGATTCCACAGGGGGCATAGCAGGACAGCACCTTTCTGAGCACCCCGACATCCGCAAACTTGGTTTCACTGGTTCCACCACGATCGGCAAACAAATCATGAAGAGGTACTGGTGTTGATGTCTCCTTTGGTAACAAGCCTGTTAAACCAGGTTTCTGTTCCCTTTCCTCTCATATACTACTATCTTCTTTCCTTTCCTTTCCTTTCTTCCCCTCTGGGGCTCAGTTTGGTTTTCCATACCAAGTGGTAACTTACAGTTTAGAAAAGCAAGAGAGGAAGGGAGAGACAGACAAACACAGACACTAAATGTTTGCTCCCCATTTATTTTCCTCTAGCTGTGCTGTGAGCAACTTGAAGAAAGTTTCCCTTGAGCTTGGGGGCAAGTCTCCTCTTATAATATTCAATGACTGTGAACTGGACAAGGCTGTGCGAATGGTAAGGGGGTCAAAGTCAAGTACACAGTTGCCACTCCATCTCCTTTGTTGGAGGTCTTCAAATGAGACTTGCTTTGTCTAGTTATAAATAGAAACTTTCTTTTTATCCTAAGAACACTTAGTTCTTAGGATAAAACAGAGGCTTGAACTCAAGGTCTTTCACTCAGCTTTTTCCAATCACAGCTTTCACTCAGCTTTTTCCATTCACAGTTGATACTCTTCTGCTTGCTACACCTCCATTTCAAGCAATTAATTTTTTTAAAAAATCAGTCATGGGGCTGAACTCAGGGCCTAGACACTGTCCCTCAGCTTTTTTTTCTCAGGGCTAGTGCTCTACTACTTTGAGCCACAGTGCCACTTCTGGTTTTCTGGTAGTTAATTGGAGATATGAGTCTCACAGACTTTTCTTTTCTTTTCTTTTTTGGGTCTGGTCATGGGGCCTGAACTCTGGGCCTAGGCGCTGTCCATCAGCTCTTTAGCTCAAGGCTAGCGCTCTACCACTTGAGCCACAGTGCCACTTCCAGCTTTTTTCTTTTTGCTTATGTGGTGCTGGGGAAATCGAACCCAGGGCCTCATTCATGCAAGGCAAGTGCTCTACCACTAAGCCACCTTCCCAGCCCTCACAGACTTTTCTTTTGGCCAGGCTTTGAACTGTGATCCTCAAATCTCAGCCTCCTGAGTAGCTAGGATTACAGGCATGAGTCACCAGCACCTGGCTCAAGCAATTGATTTTTTAAATAAAATGTTTATAATTTCTCTGAATTAAAATGTTTTAAAATGGGATGTAAATCACACCAACCATATCAAGAAGTTTCAAGGATATCATGATGATAGTTGTAAGTTTTCTCCTGATAACACACCCCTCCAGCCTTTTATCTGCTTGACAAATCAAAGGCTAGAGACACTAGTAGATACAATAAAATGCACATCTATAGTCCCAGCTACTTAAGAGGCTAAGGCAGGAAAATGGCTTGTGCCCAGAAGTTCAAGGTCATATTGGGCAACATAGTGAGACTTCAGAGAGACAGGCAGAGAGAGAGAGACAGAGACAGAGAGAGACAGAGACAGAGAGACAGACAGAGAGACAGAGAGATTAATAATATATTTTTCTGAGACATGGGCTAACAGTGAGCCAACTTGGAAATGGTTTGTGCTGAATGATCTGGTAGCTCTGATAGAAGCACAGGATGTTCTAAGCTCTGTGCTATCTTCTGTCCAGGTGCTAAGACCACTGTTCACTGAGACCACAGGTGGAAAGATGGGACAAGGAGATGCAAGCACTCCTGTGGCCAGGCCTAGCTGGACATGTTAGGGATGAACAGTGGCTGGGATTGCATAGACTGACATTGGATCAGTACTCCATTAGACATCTGGATTTCTTAAAGCTTTTCAAAGCCTTCCAGAAAAGCCGGTGGGAGGAGGGGGGGAAGATGGGGGAAGAAAATGTTGTTGTTATTGTTGTTACCTGTAACATACTCTGTTACAAATTTTTAAAGCATCATATCTTTTCTATCTCACACTTTTTTATGTGTGTGCCCATCAGGAGGCTTGAACTCAGTGCCTTGTGCTCTCACTTGACTTTCTTGCTCATAGGTCAGCCACTTGAGCCAATACCTCTGGTTCTGACTTTTTGCTAGTTAATGAAAGATAAGAATCTCATGGATTTGTCTTCCCAAGATAGATTTGAACTGCCATCCTTAGATCTCAGCCTCCTGAATAGCTAGCACAGGAAGAAAACTCTGTGAGACTCTTAAATTAACCACCAAAAAGCCAGAAATGGAAGTGTGGCTCAAAGTGATAAAACACCAGCCTTGAGCACAAAAGCTCAGGGACAGTGCCTCAGAACCTGAGTTCAAAGCCCCAGGACCTGCATACACACACACAAAAATCCAATTGGCACGCAGCAGAAAAAAGAAAGAAAAGGTTCCCTATCCTGGAAGAGTCCTTGTTCATGCCATAAAAGAAGAAATATGAATTATTTCAAGTGCCTGTTATATTTTTAACTCAGTTCAGAGAGATTTCCTGGAGGTAAATTAGCAACTGGATTTAGAAAAGGCAACATGAAATCACTCAAAGACAAGCCACCAGGAAGGGTAAAAACTTTTACCACAGGGCTGCAGAGAAAGTCAAGCACATTTTTGCCAATTGCAATGACTACCAGGTGTTCATTGGTGAAATGAAACTGCATGGCATGGCTGCCCTTCCGGACATCTGTGAGGAGGTTTTGTCTCCAAGTAGGATGTTTCTTAAGGATGGATTAGGAATGGAAAATCTTAGCTAACTGGACAAGTATTTTGATTTTTTGTTGTTGTTGTTGTTGTTTTGTGTGTGGGGGGGTCCGGTCATGGGGCCTGAACTCTGGGCCTGAGTGCTGTCCCTCAGCTCTTCAGCTCAAGGCTAGCGCTCTACCACTTGAGCCACAGCACCACTTCTGGCTTTTTTTTTTTTGCTTATGTGGTGCTGAGGAATCGAACCCAGGGCCTCAGGCATGCAAGGCAAGCGCTCTACCATTGAGCCACCTTCCCAGCCCCTGGACAAGTACTTTGAATCTCCCTACTTGTCATCCTGACTGGAGCTGGCTTGTCACCCCCACTCACCCTGCTTAAGACACATGGGACTGATGTCCTTATGAGCACTCCATTTCCTTTTGGCAGTGATTTCTTTGGAGATCATGTTTAAGCAAGAAAAAAAAATCACGTAAGATGTCTAAAAATAAAATGCATTTAAGCTCACTAAAAATAAGAGGGGGGATTTTCAGCTGGGTTCGGGTGGCTCATGCCTGTAATCCTAGTTATTCAGGAGGTTGAGATCTGAGAATCATAGCTTAAAGCTAGCCTGGGACTAGCAGTCTATGAAACTTCATCTCCAATGAACCAGTAAAAAAGATAGGGGTATAGGTGTGGCTTGAGTGGTAGAGTGGCAGCCTAGCAAGTAACCAAGCAAGTGCAATATTCTAAGTTCAAATCCCAATACCACTATACTAGAAAAAGAAAGATTTTGCTTTTATGGCCAAATGAATGGAGGCTTTCTAAACATTTGTGGTATGTGATTTAATGGGGAGGTTTTAAGATAAAATGTAATATATAAATATTACTTCTTTTCTTTTTGGTCAGTCATGAGGCTTGAATTCAGATCCCTGAGACTTTTTGTGTTCAAGTTTAGTTCTCTACCTTTGAGCAACAGCTGCACTTTCAGCTTTTTCTGAGTAGTTTATTGGCGATAAGCGTCTCATGGACTTTCTTACCTGGGCTGGCTTCCAATCATGATCCTCAGATATCAGCCTCCTGAGTAGTTAGGATAATGGGCATGAGCCACAGGTGTCCTATTACATTTTATTTTTTAATCTTTTCTATTACATTTTAAATTGTAGAATAATCAGTATTTTCTTGCAACACAAAATTTGTATACAAGTATATCCTTATTCACATGTATTTTTAAAAACTATTCATGAAATAAAACCAGACTAGAGCCTGGGTACCAGCGGTTCACACCTATAATCCTAACTGCCCAGAAGGCTAAGATCTGAGGATCTTGGTTCATAGCCAGCCCAGGTAGACAAATCCATGAGAATCTTATCCCTAGGCGATGAGCAAAAAGCAGAAACTAGAGGCATAGTTTAAATGGTAGAATGCCAGTAGAAAGAAAAAATGCTGAACGAAAGGCCCTGAGTTCAAGCCCCCCAGTATTGGCACAAGAAAAAAAAAGCAGCCAGATCAAAACTGAGTATCTATGCTGTCAGCAGCTTTGAACACCACCTCCTTCCCCATGTGTACAATTTTAGTCAAGCATGACTTATTGAGCAGTGTTAACTTACTTTCTTTTCCACGGCTGAAGGGCATGGGTGCGGTGTTTTTCAACAAAGGAGAGAACTGCATTGCAGCCGGGAGGTTGTTTGTGGAAGAATCCATCCATGATGAATTTGTGACGAAAGTGGTAAGTTATTTTCAAAGTGATTCTGAGTTATATACAAATGACTTTTTTTTGCTAGAACAGTACCTATGGGATTATTCATGATTTTGAGGGGGGATGATAGCATTATTATTGTTATGTTAAAAAATATTAGTCCTGGGGGAGAGTGAGGGAGGGGAAGAGATAGTAGGAAAAAAACAAAGGAGGGGGGAACAATGTTTAACAAGAAATGTACTCATTACCTTACTCATGTAACTGTAACCCCTCTGTACAGCATCTTTACAATAAAATAAAATTAAAAAAAATTAGCCCTATCTGGAGCATAGCGTATGGTAGAGTAAGTGCTTACCATGCACAAGAGCCCAGGTTCTATTCCTAGCAAAAAAGAGAAGGAAGGAAGGAAGGAAGGAAGGACGGGAGGAAGGGAGGAAGAAAGGAAGGAAGGAAGGAAGGAAGGAAGAAAGGAAGGAAGGAAGGAAGGAAGGAAGGAAGGAAGGAAGGAAGGAAGGAAAAAAGAAAAGTTATATTTAACAGAGCTATATACTGATATATTTACAGTTTAGAATTTATAGGTCTGGAATTTTTATCAACATAACCCAGGAGCAGAGGCTGTAGGGGAACAAATTGGCCATGAATTGGTAGTTATTGATGTTGGATAATGAATACATGGGTTTTATTATATGATTTTTCCTTTATATGTGCTTATGATTTTCTTAGTAATAAGTTATAGATCTATATTTTTTTAAAAAAACCTTAATAAAATATACTTAAGGGCTTAGGACTGTGGCTTAAGTGGTTAGAGTGCCTACTTAGCAAATGTGAAGCCCTAAGTTCAGATCCCTAATGTCACATATGTATATAATATATATGTAATATATAACACATATACAATAGATCACATATATAATAGCACATATATCACATTATATAATATATATTATATATACATGTAAGAGTATACTCTCATTTGAAGTATGTTACACCTTGATACTTGTGCAAGTTACACTCCCAGAATTTCGTACAATACATTGACTATAGAGATATGTTACTCAATCCTTTCAAATCCCCAATTTACAGCTAAAAATGACAGAATATAATTTCTGTCACTAAAATAACAATAAATAGCCCCTGTAGTTGGATCATGAATCCATAAACACTACCCTCCAAGGCAACTTCCTACATCCCAACAGACCAGATAACCAGAGAGTGAATAACAAGCAGGTCAGAGAGGCACATAATGGGCAGCTGCCTCCTAGATATCACAGTATAATTCAGTTTGGATCTCTACAGAATCCAGTTTACATAATTGCATAGTTTTGGGTTTTGGTGTCAGCTACAACTTGACATTTCAAAAAGTTACTGTATCAGTCCATCAACAAACAGGGTTTGCACACATACTCTTTGCATTCATTTAACAATTATTTGAGAGCTTATTTAAGACCAAATATCAATGTGCTAGATGCTGAGGGCACAAAAGAGAAGAGGGAAGATGTGCCCCCTGCCTTCTCAGAGCTTCTAATCCAGCACAGAACTCTGTGCAAGGCACTGAGAGATCATTATTTCTGGGTGTATATTCAAGTTCATGGCCCATGGGGTCATTGTAACTCCCATTCATTTTTCTGACTGGAGTTGGAGTTTGTATTAGAAAGCCCAGATATAGATTATGACAACTAAGGAGCACAAGAAGCAGTTACACAAACATGCCAGTGATGGTCACAACTGATTCATACTTTTTCAGCTGTGGTTCATGCCTGTAATCCTTTCTACTCAGGAGGTTGAGATCTGAGGATCATGGTTCAAAGCCAGCCTGAGCAGAAAAGTTGGTGAGACTCTTATCTCCAATTAACCAGCCAAAAGCTGGAAGTGGAGGTATAGCTCAAGTGGTAGAGTACCAGCCTTGAGCAAAAGAGTCCAGTGAGAATATGAGGCCCTGAGTTCAAGTCCCAGTACCAGTACAAAGGGGGAAAAAGCGACTATTTCTCATCAGAACATTCTAACATTATAGCAGTTCATTTGGCATGACTATACTGCAAGAATTTCACAGGTATACCACATTTGAGAAAAGGAAGAATAACAATGTAGTCATTGTAGAAATCCCTTTGCCATGAAGTGAACACATGTGCTGTATTAGTGAAAATTACAGCAGCTTGCTATTTAGTGGACCAACACTTAGGATAAATTTAAGGTAGTATATGTAGTTTATATTATTTACAAAGCTGAGAACTTGGGCTTTCAAGAACCTGGGCTTTGAAAACACTGTAGGTAGTGCTTGTGTGCACTTGTGTCACTTAACCTCTTTAAGGTATCCATTTCTTTTTCTGTAAGACTGAAATAATATACCTCCAGTGCCACCATGAAGACTGAATGACAGCACATTTACAAGGAGCTAGTGCAACACCCACCACACAGTAGAAACTCAGTCAAGGGCATCCATCCTTATTAACAGTATATTGTGTTTTGTGGACTGGGTAATATACAGGTGGAAGAAATTAAAAAGATGAAAATTGGTGATCCACTTGACAGATCTACTGATCATGGGCCCCAAAATCATAAGGCCCACTTGGAAAAGCTCCTGCAATACTGTGAAGCTGGAGTGAAGGAAGGGGCCACCTTGGTATATGGAGGAAGACAAGTTCAAAGACCAGGTAAGATCACCTCTATAGGAGGCTTATGGGGTAGGATGCTAACAATTTCCACTTCAGCACCATTTGCCGTAAAAGTAAGTAATGGCATCTGTAATGCAAATTAATATAACAAATCAATTAGTTAAATCTGTAACAATTAATGTCTGCATCCAGTCACCTACAAGCTGTGGTGCCTTGGCCAACACAATTCTTCAGAGTTGCATATTCTTCCTAGATATAGTAAGAGCAAATGAACACAGTTTTACAAAACCGTGACAATGACAAAATGGATATGGCAGGCTCTTCACTGGTGATGAAGAGCAATGGTGATCTTGATTCTTGGCACTGTAAGATTTAATCTTGGCCAATGGAACCTCTGAAAGGCTTACTCCTATTGCCTGTTACTAAAATATGTGAATGGTTCCATGCCATGATTCTCAAAACCAGAGAGAGATAAACAACCATTAATTTTTTACTGGCAGATTGTGCACCAATACCTTACTATGAACATTGGTAATTACAAGAAAAAGATGACTTATTTATCCTCTATTTCCCTGTGTGAACTGGATTTCTAGGTGACTGAGTAGCTGGTAAAAGTATCTAAGAGTCCCTGCTAACTAATGTAGAAATGAAGTGATATAGTAGGAAAAAAATAAACATTTTGCATGTAATAGATGAAGTAATTGATTCAAGAAATGACTGGCCAGGGAGGCTGCAGTTGTTAGGAAAAGGTTGAGAGGGAGCTGGTGGTATCAAGAGGCATCAAAGATGGCTCACCATTCATAAGAAGAAAAATACATCTTTACACTGGCATGTCAGCTTGTCATCACCTGAGCTGATTATCAATCTTCTGAGCATCAGTGAACAAAACATCAGTGAACAGAAGTGTAAGAGCCAAAGCCAGGCACTGGTGGCTATGCCTGTAATCCCAGCAACTCAGGAGGCTAAGATCTAAGGATCGCAGTTTGAAGCCAGCTTGGGTGGGAATGAGACCCTGATCTCCAATTAACCACCAGAAAACCAGGAGTTTTCTGTGGCTCAAGTGGTGGAGCATAAGCCTTGAGCACAAAAGCTCAGGGACAGTGCCCAGGCTCTGGGTTCAAGCCCAATATCTGACAAAAACAAACAGACAAACAGGACTGGGAAGGTAGCTCAGTGGTAGAGTGCTTGCCTTGCATGCATGAGGCCCTGGGTTTGAGTCCTTAGCACCACACAAGCAGAAATAGCCAGAAGTGGTGCTCTGGCTCAAGTGGCAGAGTGCTAGCCTTGAGCTGAAGAGCTGAGGGACAGTGCCCAGGCCCCAGAGTTCAGGTCCCATAACTGACCAAAACAAAACAAAACATGAAGCAAGGAATGCCAGTATCAAATAAAGATACAAAACTCTTCCTAATTTTACTAAGACAGAGTGGGGAAAATTATAATGGAATTAACTGAGACAATTCTGAATTGAAAGTGTGACTTTACTTACAATTAATGTCTTCTTCTTTGTCCATAAAGGCTTTTTTATGGAACCCACTGTGTTCACAGATGTGGAAGACCACATGTACCTTGCCAAAGAGGAATCCTTTGGACCAATTATGGTCATTTCTAAATTTCCAAATGGGTATGTATGTTCTTTCAGGCACAAATTATCATCTCTCTGTCTCTGGTCTAGTTTATAAACACATGGTCCCTACTGTGTTCAACGCATCATGAAATGTGAGAATTTAAGGAAAGTCTCAACTCTCTCCACCTTAGGTTCCAAATTAACCACCCAAAAAGCTGGAAGTAAAGCTGTGGTGTGGTAGAGTACTAGCCTTGAGCAAAAAAGCGCAGGGACAGTGCCCAGGACTGAGTTCAAGCCCCAGTACTGCCCTTGTCCCCCAAAAGTGAAGGAATTTTGAACTACATGCACAGAATCTGAAGAGATGAACAAAAAAATCAAAACAAACCAACCAAACAAATGTTCTGAAAATCCAGGAATGGGAGATGTGAATGATAACCACTGACGAAATCTGCAAAGATCACATACTTCAGATCAGACTTAAAAGGTGTTGCCTGATGCATATTCTAGTTTCAATATTTCCATATGGCTTTCTTTCCATAAAAGCCTGGAATATTTCATTTATAAAAATAAAAATAGGGCTGGAATGTGGCTTAGTGGTAGAGTATTTGCTAGCATGCATGAAGCCATGGGTTCAATTACTCAGTACCACACAGAAAAAGCCAAAAGTGGTACTTATGGCTCAAGTGGTAGAGTGCTAGCCTGGAGAAAGAAAAAGCTCAGGAACAATGCCCAGGCCCTGAATTCAAGCCCCAGGACTGGCAGGGGAAAAAAAAAAAAACATCAAAAGAGGTGGCAGTGAAGTTTTCCTGTTTCTAGCAGAGAGAGGAAACATTTGACAGCATAGAATTCTGCTTTACATGTAATGAAGTTCTATGTTTTTCTGGACACCTCTTGCAGGGACATCAATGGAGTGCTGCAGCGAGCAAACAGCACAGAGTATGGCCTGGCCTCAGGGGTTTTCACAAGAGACATAAACAAGGCCATGTACGTGAGTGAAAAGCTGGAAGCAGGGACCGTTTTTATTAACACATACAACAAGACGGATGTGGCTGCCCCATTTGGTGGGGTGAAGCAATCTGGCTTTGGAAAAGACCTGGGTATGTATGGTTGGTTTTCTGTGACACACATCTGATCCAGCCCCATCACAGGAAAACTTGAGCATTTCCTTCATGGCAGCAGGTTCCAGGTTTACATGGGAAATTGATATTAAAAAACTGTTCAAACCAGGTACTGGTAGCCTATAATCCTAGCTACTCAGAAGGCTAAAATAAGAGACTGATGTTCAGAGCCAGCCCAGGCAGAAAAGTCCAAGAGACTATTATCTCTAATTAACTAGCAAAATGCTAAAATGGGAGATGTGGCTCAAATGGTAAAACACTAGCCATGAGCAGAAAAAGCTGAGAAAAGGGCCCTGAGTTCAAGCCTCAACTCTGGTACAAAAAAGGAAACTGTCCAATATTTTCATTAAACACAACATACAGAAAAAGTGCATTCTCCTTATTTTTCAAAGATTAATACTGAAAGGAAAAAGAGCCTGGCAATGTATTGACTCAAATATTGATTAAAAATGGATTCTTTTTATCTGATGTTTAGCATAAACTTGGTTTAGATTTTGGTTTTGTTTTATAAAGATAATATCATATAGCACAGATTGACTTTGAACTCATAATCCTTTCGCCCCAGCTTTTCCAGTGCTGAGATTATAGACATTTGCCATCACAACCAGCTTGGTTTAGATTCTGCAGGACTAAATAGAACCAAGAAAAGAAAGTGGGTGGAAGGCAATGACTACTTCCAATGCTGAATCCTGGCTTTGGCTGCTTCCAAGGTTGAATTAAGTCTGCAGGGGGTAAGGGTTGGGAGCCTGGGAACTTAGTTTGTGAAAGCCTAAAATGTGATTCACTATAGCAGCAGCACCTTTCAAGCAATAGCTATGAATGCTACATTTGCAGCAGGCCCTTTCTTTCTAAAAGTACCTAACCTGCATGAGCACAAGCCACTGTCAGTTATTCCAGGGGACAGTTACACTGTCCATTGAACTTCCCAAAGCCACACAGGCAGGCTCTGGCAGACAGAAGTGAAGCTAGGCAGTCTGGCCATGGATCTTAATCTTTTTTGGGGAGAGGGAGGGGAGGTCCGGTCATGGGGCCTGAACTCTGGGCCTGGGTGCTGTCCCTCAGCTCTTCAGCTCAAGGCTAGCGCTCTACCACTTGAGCCACAGCACCACTTCCGGCTTTTTCCCCCTGCTTATGTGGTGCTGAGGAATCGAACCTAGGGCCTCATGCATGCAAGGCAAGCACTCTACCACTGAGCCACCTTCCCAGCCCCGAATCTTATTCTCCATAGTCCTACCTTTTTCAACATATGAAACGCTTATGATTTACTGAAATTACAGCTGAGTGGTAGATTTGGTTCATCTGGGGTATATGTCACATTTTCTCTTTCCTGATGATTTTTCTCAGCGTATTGGCAACTGTAAAAGTGCTTCTTAGCCGGGCACTGATGACTCATTCCTGTAATCCTAGCTACTCAGGAGGCTTGCTCAAGGCTAGTGCTATAGTGATCTGTAGTGATCTATAGCTTCACTTCTGTTTTTTTTTGTTTTTGTTGTTTTTTTTTTTTGGTAGTTTATTGAAGATAAGAGTCTCATGGGCTTTCCTGAAGCTTCACTTCTAGCTTATTTTGGTAGTTTATTGGAGGTAAGAGTCTCATGGACTTTCCTACCCAGACTGGCTTCATATTGTGATCCCGATGCTGAGGAGCTAGGATTACAGGCATGAGCCATCAATGTCCAGCCATATCCACCTTTTGAACACAGTTATCAACTGTTCTTTTCTGCCATAGGTGAGGAAGCTCTGAACGAATACCTCAAAACCAAGACTGTGACACTGGAGTATTAGAGCAACACCACCACCAGAAACCCTTGGCAGACAGCACGACTTCTCAAATCTCCAGATGTGAAAGAAGCAGGGTGTGCTAAGGATTTCTTTTTTGCCATGAGAAAAAACAAAATCACACCCAGACCACAAAAAGAGCCAGGCCCCTTGTCTGAGCATTTGCTCATGTGCCTGAATACTTACTTTCAAAAGCACCTTTTATACCTGAAAACAATTTCCATGGTTGGTTTTGTATCATCCACATTTCTAAAATACCAAGGTGCTCATTCCCTATCAACACTAATCTGTTCATGACCAACCATTGTGAAAATGTCAGTTTCATGCAGCTACTGCACAGGTGCATTTATATGACCACCTTTGTGTGTGGGCAGGTTTTAACCTCTGAACCATACATATGGTTATTAAAAAGGTTTTCTCTCTCTATATATATATTGGGCTGGGAAGGTGGCTCAGTGGTAGAGTGCTTGCCTTGCATGCATGAGACCCTAGGTTTGATTCCTCAGCACCACATAAGCAGAAAAAGATGGAAGTAGTGCTGTGGCTCAAGTGGTAGAGTGCTAGCCTTGAGCTGAAGAGCTGAGGAACAGTGCCCAGGCCCACAGTTGAAGCCCCATGACCAAAAGAAAAAAGATTTTCTATAATTTTGTTTTCAATATATCCTACAAGAAATGTACAGGTAGTTCTTTTGGGGTTTTGTGCCATTGGTGTTTTTTTCCACCCACTATGATTGGTGATCAGCTCATGACCATTTCTGAGTATCTACCTACTGATTACAAGGTACTATATTATATTGGCGGGTATAAAAAGTTAATAACATGCTCTTTAGCTCACATAACTTTAAATTCTAGTAAATAGCCTTGAAAGTGAAATTTATGAGCTCACATAGAAAATAGCCTTTCATGGCTGATTTTGGTTTGTTTCACACTATGTCATGATTTGGGATACAAATGCAACATCTCTGAGCCCTGGCTTCCTTTTGCATAAGATAGGGCTAGCAAATGCCTTCCTCAGGTTCTTATTATGAGTCTTCAGTGCAATAATAATGTATGAAAAGTGCCTTGCCTTGTATTTTGCTCACGGTAAATATTCAAAATTTAATTCTTTTCTTCTATCACTACTTTAAAAACTGTATTGAGATGGCTTTATTAACTAGAGGAGTTAATTCCTCACACCCTTTTCTATAATCAGTTCTTAGATGGCATTTCACCTGGTTGTAACACAGTGCCTAACATGGCAGAATACTGAAAATGCCGAGCAATACAAAATGGCAATGGCACTAGGAAAGAGGCCACTTTTTTCGTCTTTCACAGCACATCTTGCTTTCTATTTCTTACCTATAGGTTCTGCTGTTCTCTGGCTGTGTGATGTTGAGCAAGTTAGTTACCTGGTATCTCAAAAATCTAGTGTGTTATCTATAAAAGGGAGACAAGAATCCCCCCTTATCGAGCATTTTCAGGATTTAATGAGAAAATGAACCTGATGCACCTAACAAGGACCAGAGTCAGGACTTAAGAAATTACAACTGTCCTGCCCTGTGGCGCTCACAGTTTCCAATAATATGTAAAAATGACTTCCTGAATCACAGAAGCCTTCAGAAAATGCCCAGAGTAACTTACATCAGTCCTCCCTTTGAAGCAGAATTTCAGTGAGCATTTTTAGTTCTTTAGCTGTGAAGAAGCCCCCAAGGAATATTTACTTTGGAGATGAGATGAAGGGAACACAGAATCAATAAACAGCAGTAACAAAATCAAAAACACTTTCAAAAGAAAAAGAAAACAAAAACCAAGTTTGATCCTGGATGGATCGAACTGGTTTCACAGACAAACTTTGCCTTGTAAGCATTTTTTCTTTTTTGAAATTTTTTTTATTAAGTGGTTGTACAAAGAAGTTCCCATTCTACAAACCAGTCTATGAATACAAAGTGTCATGGCATTGTCACCCATCGCTCCTAACCCACCCCTTCTCATTATAAGCATTTTTTGAAATTATAGTAGCGTTAATTTTTTATCAGAAGTGCTAAGTTGGAATGAATATTGGGCTCAAAATGATAATGTACATTTAAATAAAATGACAAAGGCCTCGTAAACAATCTACTTTTATTTGTTTTTTGGCAGTCTACATTCCCCAAGAAGAGTTGTTAGAAGATACTTTTTTTTTTTGCCAGTTGTGGGGCTTAAACTCGGCCTGAGCACTGTCCCTGAGTCTTTGTACTCAAGGCTACTACTGCTCTACCACTGAAGCCACAGTGCCACTTTGTGGTTTTTGAGTGGTTAACTGGAAATAGTCTCACAGGGACTTCTGTCAGTAGTGGGGCCTGAACTCTGGGCTTGGGCACTATTCCTCAGCTCTTCAGCTCAAGGCTAGCACTCTACCACTTGAGCTACAGCACCACTTCCGGCCTTTTCTGCTTATGTGGTGCTGAGGAATCGAACCCAGGGCCTCTAGCATGCAATGCAAGCACTCTATCACTGAGCTATTTCCCAGCCTGAAGATGTACTTCTTAAAAGCAGCTTCCTCCTTACTATGAAAGGTTATCCTTTTACTCACCAAGAAATCTTTTGCTGCAAGACTAAAAAAATCTTGGCAGCTTCCACTAACACCTTTCATCTTTCTTGTCTCATTTTCAATCTCTTTCACTTCTTAAATACCTTTTTTGCTTGATGAACCAAATGCCCTGCTATAGATCTTTTCCTGCCAGAATCCTTACCCCCATCCTTTTGTATTTCTGATACCACCCTTTGAAGATTTGTGAGTTCTAGTCCAAAGGTATCCCTGGGTTTGCATTTCCAACCCTTGTGCCTTCTATCTTGATTACTTCCCCAGGGTCTACTCTGACTTCTATTACTAAATATCTCATTACTGCTGAAGTCTATCCTTTGTACTGGAGCTGCTTGCATTGTTGTCCAAGTAACCACTGTGTGTGTGTGTGCGCGCGTGTGTGTGCATGTGCACACATGCCAACATGCACATGCGCAGGGACTCAAACTTAGGGACTGGGCACTGTCCCTGAGCTTTTGTGCTCAAAGATAGTGTTCTACCATTTGAGCCAAAGCTCTAGTTCCTGCTTTTGGTGTTTAATTGGAGATAAGTCTCACAGATTTGCCTGCCTTGGCTGACTTTTGAAATAATCCTCAGATCTAAGGATGTCAGCCAGCTGAGTAGCTAGGATTAAAGGTGTGAACCACCTGCAATCAGCCAAGTAACTACTTTTAAACAAAGTGTTTTAACTCATTCATGATTTGGGATATCATTTTATTAAATTATTTTAATACAGAATGGCAGACAACAATATGTCAGAGGTGGGTACAAATGCTCATAATCCTAGGATCAAGGTTCAAAGCCAGCCTGGGCAGCTTTCTTCACTAGCTGACTCTCTTCTCTTAGGTCTCTGCTGTGTCATTCTTTATCTCTCATCCTACATCAGCTTCAGAGCAGTTTTGCTACCTAGCATGTATTTACTATCACAAATCTCCATTAGAAGACTAGCTTTGTGAATAAGTGTGTCTAATACGTTGGAGATGCACAATTAAGTATATTTGTTGTCTAGTGGAGAGGTTAAGTAACTTGACCAAATCATGCTGCTACCAAGTATCCAAGCAATGAAGTTGAATAATTTTTATTCCCAATGTCTAAATCAGAGCCTGGCCACTAAACATCAAGTATTTCACATACAGAAAAAACAACCAGTATTGTTTTCAAGAGCTTTTTGTGGCAGCGGCTAGAGGCAGAATGAGGAACCGCATCAGCCTGTCTGTAGCTAGGTTCCAAGAAGATAAAGTTGTCAAGGTAAATGTGTTAGAAGAAACAAAAGGTGATGCCATTCAGGGGGGCTAAGGCAGGAAGACTGATTTTCAGGCCAGCCTAGATATATAACAAGACATTGTCTTAAAAACAAATAGCCAAGTGCTGGTGTCTCATACCTGTAATCCTAGCTACTCAGGAGGTTGAGATCCGAGGATTGTGGTTCGAAGCCAACCTGAGCAGGAAAGTCCATGAGATTCTTTATCTCCAATTAATCACAGAAAAAGCCAGAAGTGGTGCTGTGACTCAAGTGGTAGAGCACTAGCCTTGAGCCAAAGGAGCTCAGGCCCATAGTTCAAGTCCTAGGACTCACAAATTTAATTAATTAATTAAGTCGCTGGATAAAACATGACATGGTGTGCTAAAAGGGATTATTATATCCAAGAGGATGTTTTTAATTAAATAGTGTACAAAGGGATTACAATTCCATAAACCAGGTTATCATCAGTACAGTGCATCTCAATGTCATGCTTCCATCATTCTTCCCTATTTCCCCCTCCCCTCCATATCATCAAGTTATGAGGTTCAGTTTTTACATAATGTACACCGAACACATGACTGCATTTGCTCACCCTTCCTCTATTCCTGTGCCACACTCCTTTTGCCCTCGGTAGAGGCCTTTTTTATTTTTGCCAGTCCTAGGGCTTGAACTCAGGCCCTGGGCACTGTACCTGAGCTTCTTTTACTCAAAGCTAGTATTCTACCACTTGAGCCACAGCACCACTTCTGGCCTTTTCTGTTTATATGGCACTGAGGAACTGAATCCAGGGCTTCATGCATGCTAGGCAAGCACTTTACCATTAAGGCACATTCCCACCCCCAGTAGAAGCCTTCTTGAGGCTTGAACTCAGGCCCTGGGAACTATCCTTGAACTTTTTTTGCTCAAGCTATTGCTCTGCCACTACGAGCCACAGCTCTACTTCTGGTCTTATGGTGGTTAAGTAGAGATAAGAATCTTCCTTTCCTGCCTGGGCTGGCTTCAAACTGAGATCCTGATATCTCAAGCACCTGAATAGCTATGATTACAAGTGTGAGCCACAAGCACCTGGCTTGTTATCTGCTTTTTAAATTAACATTATATCATGAGCATCTATGTCAACGGACACATTTTTGTATACTCCCATGATTTCAATTCAGCTTCTTTTCTACTGTTGGACATTCAGAATTGTATGCTACTCTATATGTCACAATAAATCTTTTATAAATATGTATACTGGGCATGGTGATATATACTTGCAATCCAGCACTCAAGAGGCTGAGGCAGGAAGATCAGTCTAGTAAACAGTAGTCCTGTTTTCAACATTTGACAGGCTTCATTCATATAGTAGGCAACTGGATGGAGGATTTTTAGTAGCCAAGTCAAAAAGTTTTGACCAGGAGTTAGATGGACATGAAAAGGAGCCTAAAGCACAGATAGGCAGATCAGTCTGAGGCCAGCCTGGGAAAATATCTGAGACCTAATTTTAAAAGCAATTAAAAGCAAATGGTAAGCCGGGTGCTGCTGGCTCACGCCTATAATCCTAGCTACTCAGGAGGCTGAGATCTGAGGATCATGGTTCAAAGCCAGCCCCGGCAGGAAAGTCCATGAGACTCTTACCTCCAATACACCACTAGAAACCTTGAAGTAGCACTGTGGCTCAAGTGGTAGAGCACTTGCTTTGAGCTGAAGAGCTGAGGGACAGCACCTAGGCACAGAATTCAAGCCCCATGACCGACCAAAAAAAAAAAAAGAAAGAAAAAGCAAATGGTAGAGTGCTTGTCTAGCATGTGTATGGTCCTGAGTTCAATCCCCAGCACCTCTATAAAGAAAAAAAGAAAAATCCATTTTTCTATTCAGTCCATGCTTATGCATCATATAGCTGCTGCCAATGGCAATGTGAATTTACCACAGAGCATCATTTTTCCAGCTCAAACTACAAAGGTATATATTATATATACGATATACTTTATGTAACACATATACTATATAACTCTTCTTTACAAAAAGTATTAAAAAGTTTTGAGCATGGTGGTACACTCCTATAATCCTAGCACACAGCAGTCTGAGGCAGGAAGAACATGAATTCAAGGCCAGCCTGGGCTATATATAGTAAGACTGTCTCGAAGAAACAAAAAAAGAAAGAAAAAAGAAGAGGGGTAAGAGTAAAGGGAAGAAGAGAGGAAGGAAGAGGAGGCCCATACCACACTGCCTCTAGTTTCTCTGAGAAATAAAACATATCAATATTACATGTTAAGTTAAATAAGTAAAAGGCTATTATCCTGAAGTTGTCTCCAGTACTTTTGGTTCCTATGTAAAAAACCCTGCAACCCACCTCAATATAAAAACAAACCTGAAACCTAAATTAAGAGTGAATTTTTATAACAAATAGCTGGGTTTCAGCCCAACACGTATAGCTGAACTACGGCAGTAACTGACAACTCATCCACCATGTCCAAATAAAGCAAGGGTCTGGCCATTACCAATACTTTTATTTCCTTTTTGGCTAGAAGGGCACGCTGTCCTCAATGCAGTAAAGCTCCCTGAACTCCTTTCCATTAAGGGTGCTGCCAGATCCATGAGTTCATCTTTGCTCAAATATACTCTATTAAACTCAATTTGTTTAAAGTTTTCTTGAACACAGAAGCCCACAGGCACACCAAACAGCCAGTGAATCGCTGCTTTTTTCGTAGAACAAGCACCTGATTTTCAAATAATTTCTTTCTTTTCATCACTTGCCAGACTGTCCAAAACTTCAATCCTGCCTATTCCACCTCCTGAATTAGGAAGCTTAATGGTATCTATGGTGACTTCACAGGGGGCGCTGTTCTCTTCATCCTCGGACTCCGAACTGTCCTCAGAAGTGTCCTCTGAACTCTCTTCTGAACTATCCTCTTCTTTTGAATCTGATTGATTCATCTCAAATAACGCCACATCCTGCAAAAGGTACAAGGTGAGAAATCTATTTCAGAACAGTTCTCTATAAGGCTACAGTGAGACCAGGTGCCAGTGGCTCACACCTAGCTACTCAGGTGGCTGAGATCTGAGGATCGCCCAGTCAGGAAACTCCGTGAGACTCTAATCTCCAACTAATCACCAGAAAACTGGAAGTGGCGCTGTGGCTCAAGTGGAAGAGCACTCGCCTTGAGCTGAAGAGCTGAGGGACAGCACCCATGCCCAGAGTTCAAGCCCCATGACCAAAAAAAAAAAAAAGCTACAGTGAAACAACTAACGATTCAGGATAAATATTAAAGTACAGAGGTTGAAATAGTTTTTAATACAAATGGCATTTCCATGCTTTTAGTTATCAGGATCTATCATAATCACACAGCCAGCTTTGGTTTGGATGATTTCCATTTGCTAAAGTCTAAAAACAGTCTCCTGCAGCCTAATTTTATAATCTGTATACTTCCATCAACTTTCATTCAAAAAAACATTAGCATGAGTCAGGCAACATACTCGGCTTAGGTGTAACAGACTTAACAAAAACATCAGATCAAGCCAGGTGCTAGTGGCTCACACCTATAATCCTAGCTACTTAGGATGCTGAAATCTAAAGATGGAGGTTCAAAGCGAGCTGGGGCAAAAAAGTCCTGTGAGACTCTTATCTCCAATTAAGTACGAAAGAGCTAAAAATGGAGCTGGCTCAATGTGGTAGAGCACTAGCCTTGAACACAAAAACTCAGGGACAACATCCAGGCCCTAATGGACTGGCATCAAAAAAAAAGAAAAAGAAAAATAAGAACAAAATTCTGCCTTCCATTCATAAAGTTTACACAAGCAAGGTTCAGCAAAATCTGCAGGCCACATCACATCTTCTACCTGCTTTTGTTCAGCCACAAACTAAGAATGTTTTCTGTATTTTCAAGGGCTAAGGAAAAGAGTAAACATCCTAGTTGTTGAAATACAAAATTGTATGGAACTCAAAATTTCAATGGCCATAAATTCTGTAAGCTTGCTGATGCACGTATATACTGTCAATGTCTACATCCATCATGCAGAGGTCAGCCATGGTCACTAAGGCCAACATGGCTTACAAACCCCAAGTGGCTACCAGTTTGCCTCTGATGGAAGATCTTTGCTGATCCCTGTTCTAGAAAGACAATAAACAACATAGAATGCAAAGTAAGTGTAGGGTAATGAAAATAAAAATGCAGCAGGGTCAGGACATATTGGGGCCCTCAGGGAAAGCCTCTTGATGAAGTAACAACTGAAAACAGAGAGGAGACATGAGGTAGAAATGTGGGTACATTCTGAGTGAGAAAATCACAAGGAGAAGACCCGAAACAATGACACTGGAGCCAGAGAGTGATAACCAGAGAGGCTGTGTAGAAGACAAAAGGTCAGACACGGTGGGAGGCAGGAGGATCACAGGACCCATCACACACGCTGTTAAGAATAGCCTCCAAGGAATAGACTCCAAAGGGGGGGGAGGAGAGGGAGGATGGGAAGGGTAAACAAAGGAGGAGGCTACAATGCTTGATAAGAAATGTACTCACTGGGGCTGGGAAGATGGCTCAGTAGTAGAGCGCTTGCCTTGCATGCCTGAGGCCCTGGGTTCTATTCCCCAGCACCACATAAGCAAAAAGAAAAAAGCCGGAAGTGGCGCTATGGCTCAAGTGGTAGAGTGCCAACCTTGAGCTGAAGAGCTGAGGGACAGTGCCCAGGCCCACAGTTCAGGCCCCATGACCGGACCAAAAAAAAAAAGAAATGTACTCACTATCTTGCCCATGTAATTGTAACCCCTCTGTACAGTATTTTCACAATAAAAAATAAATAAAAAAAGAATAGACTCCAAGGAGAGGGTGGAAGTGGGAAACCTGTTAGAAATTATTGCAATAGTCCAGGAGAGAGACTAGAGAGGGAACTTCAGAAGTTATCCAACGTGTTTGGATTGAGGATAGATTCCAAAGGCAGATGCCCAGATTTACTAATGAATAAAGTATTATTAACCGTGGTGTCAGCAAGGCCCAGATATGTGTAAAAGGAATGGTACTGAAGAAGGAAAATGAGTAGAAAATGAGACTCATTTCACAGGAAGCTTATGGAACCAGTTTGCACTCATATTCAATGAATTAGATGATAATTCCAATTCTTTGGGGGCTTGGATGTGGGAAAAAAAATCTATATAGGACATTTAATAAATGAATGTTTTCAGGATAACAAATTTAATATCTGACTTTGAAAAAGCTCTCCTCTGGCTTCCTATGATTAAAGCCCTAGAGTGTGCCAGAGAAGCTTCTGGACCAGTAAGTTCTGGAAGCATGAACTCTACAAAGGAAACTAATGCTTGGAAACAAAGTGGAAAGGCTCTTGTTCTTTTTGTTTTTACTTCTTACTGCTGGGTTTTGGTTTTCTTTTTTAGATTCCGCCCCCTTTCTACCCAACTCGTTAGGTGTCAAGACACCCTGACAACCTCAAGAAATCAAAATGAAAATCAAGCACAGTTATTTACCATTTGTATAACATTTTCAAGAGTCCCATCAATATTTTCAATGTTGAAACGGCCAGGTGGAGCAACTGCCATTTCTTTCTGTAACTTTTCATTTGCCTGGGCCATCTGTGGGAGAAAGGTCTGTACTTGGTCTAATACTATGGAGAAAAATATAGGAGATCAACATTTATGTTAGTAAACTGTACAATCCAGACTTCCCTGAAAACACTTCTAAACTGAGTAGTGGCAACACTAAAAGTCTTTTCAGCTCTTTTCCATTTGACCATTTGAATCTCCACCCTCGGATGTTGTTTTTTTTTTTTTTTGGGGGGGGGGGTTGGTGGTAAGAAGCCACATGCTAGGCAAGCGCTTGACCACTGAGCTACAACCCCAGACTCTCTTCAGCACTCCTACAGCAACAAGACTCAACAATTACATTTCAAGGGGCTGGGAAGGTGGCTCAGTGGTAGAGCGCTTGCCTCGCATGCCTGAGGCCCTGGGTTCGATTCCTCAGCACCACATAAGAAAAAAGCAGGAGTGGCTCAAGTGGTAGAGCGCTAGCCTTGAGCTGAAGAGCTGAGGGACAGCACCCAGGCCCAGAGTTCAGGCCCCACGACTGGACCAAAAACAAAACAAACAAACGAACAAAAAATTACATTTCAAAACATTTTTCATGTTTCTCATACATCACTGGAACTGCAAATGCTTAGAAGCAGGCATTCAAGAAGCACTAAGTAAGTAAGAAGGGATGATGGCTTAATAGTTTAGTACAACAGGCTTTGAGGCTTTATGGTAAGACTGGTAATTACAATTTTAACTTTACATTTTTATTATGAGCATATTACTAGTATTATTATTACTATTACTAGCATTACTATTATTTTATTATTAGCACATATTACTGGTATGAGGGAGGTTCATTTTGAAAATTCTGTAGCCGCACAGATACAGTGTACTTTGCTGGTGCTGGGGCTTGAACTCAGGGCCTGGGTGCTGTGTCTGAGCTCAAGACTAGTGCTCTACCACTTGAATCATAGCACACTTCCATATATACAGTATACTTTGAACAAGTATTATTCTCCCTCCTTATATTCCCTGCCTCTTCCTCTCTTCCTTGGTGAGGTTATTAATACAAGGTTATTAAATCCCATTCCCATCTTTTACTAAGTTCCTTTAAGCAAGTTAAGTAAGTAATGTTTGTTTTTGCCAGCCCAACATCTATTCCCTTCCTTCTGAAAACATAATCTCAGTGAGGGTCTGGCTATGTAGCCCAGGCTCCTTTCCAAAATCAAGCTCTGTTTCAGCCTCCCAAGTGATGGGATTATGGAAGTGCATCCCCCCTTGCAATGAGCTTCCTTTCAAGCTTGGGTGACTCTTGTTCCTAATTGCATACCTGTTTATATCTTCCACAGCATGTCTCACTAGAATTTGATCCAATTTGATGGAATACAGGGTCACAATGTTCTCATCAGGCCAGTAAGTCATCAGTCTGAGACTTTTAATTAAATTGTTGAAAACTCCTCTTTGTCAGAGAATGAGTGACTGAATATGCTGTTGGAAGATAAGCCTGGAGCTTCTGACAAAGTGGCTTTGGGGAGAGATGGCTCTGGATGAAGCCACTATCTAGGAAAGCAGAGCTGTGACACATGGAGCTGCCACCTTGGATTTTGGTAAGTACCTGCATGGAGGTGCCCTTGCCATTACTGCACCTTGGCTCTCTATTTCCATTAAAATGAGCCAATATAGTTGTCTCCTTTTTCTTTTCTTCAAGCAATCTGAGCTGAGCTCCAGTCACTTCAATTAAGAGTCTAGGGAAGGCATTTGATTTCATCACTCTAAACTACCTATGAAAGACGCTGATAATTGCCAGGTGTTCTGCTATATATACAAAAGCCAACAAACAAGGGACATTCAGTTGCTTTATCTGTCAAGAGGCCCAGCACACAACCATGCACATAATGGGCTCACAAAACTTATCAGGCCAATGCTATGGCTATACAACAGCTGACTAAAATGCCCAGAATGTGGAAGAAAAAGGCCTAGTATGAGCTTTAATTGTGAAGTACTGCTCAGAGGACTCCCATGAGATCACGAAGTGCTATAAAGCCCCATGTCTGGCACATATTAATGAGTGACTATTAGTTCTCATTCTTCTTCAGATACACAAAGGAGGAAAATACAGATAAAAAAATTAATGAATAAAGTATTTCTGGGTCTGCAGGTTCACATCTGTTACCACAGGGGCTGGGAAGGTGGCTCAGCATGCATGAGGCCCTGGGTTCGATTCCTCAGCACCACATAAGCAAAAAGAAAAAAGCCTTAAGTGGCGCTGTGGCTCAAGTGGTAGAGCGCTAGCCTTGAGCTGAAGAGCTGAGGGACAGCGCCCAGGCTCAGAGTTCAGGCTCTATGACCAGACCCAAAAAAACAAAACAAAACAAAATCTGTTACCACAGAAAATCTTATTCTGCTTCTGGTCAAGTGGAGCAAAACCACAGTTCTCAGAAGCTGAACATTTCTGTGGCATCTTAGTAAAGTATGTGTTTAATTCTACTCAAACAGGATTCAGTATACAACAACATAAAAGTCAAAATGTCCAAATCCAATTTAAAAAATAGCTAAATATGCAAATAAGCAGGAAAATGTATGGTAAAAAATAGGGAAAATGTGGGCTGGGTACTGGTCAGGAGACAGAAGTAGGAGGATCACCATCTGAAGCCAATCTAATCAACAGTTAGAGAGAACCTATCTCAAAAATAAGCCAGGTATGGTGGTATACACCAGCAATCCCAGCTACTCAGAAGGTAGAGATGAGAGAATCTCAGTTTAAGGCCAGCATGGGCAAAAGCATAAGATGTTATTTGAAAACCAAACTAAAAGGAAAAGTACTGAGTATACAGCTCAAGTGACAGAGCACTTGCCTAGCAAAGTTGAGGTCCTGAGTTCAATCCGCAGTACCACCACCACCAAAAAAAAGTAGGAATATGACATACACATAGACAAGGATAAGAAGCTTATTTCTGCTAAGGCCATTTGGACATTTACAACATCAGTCTCAGATCATAGAATTATCAATAAAGGCAGCAGAGCATGGGCAGCCAACAAGAAGCATATGAGAACCAGATGTGTTTGTCTCATCTTGTACCAAATCATTGAGAGCTTTGTAAAGACTATGGACCAGAAGTTCCCCATTCCTGACACAGCCAATAAAATCAACAATAATGGGGCTGGGAAGGTGGCTCAGTGGTAGAGTGCTTGCCTTGCATGCATGAGGCTCTGGGTTCGATTCCTCAGCACCACATATGCAGAAAAAAAAAAAGCTGGAAGTGGCACTGTGGCTCAAATGGTAGGGTGCTAGCCTTGAGCTGAAGAGCTGAGGGACAGCGCCCAGGCCCAGAGTTCAGGCCCCACGACCGGACCCAAAAAAAAAAAAATCAACAATAATATATCAACTGTATTTATATAGAAATATATAGAAACAATATATCAACTATATTTATATCAACTATAAATATACCCTGTATGTTCAAGAAAGTACAAAACCTAAAATATAACGTCTCAAATGTGACTATATCAGTGATATGTACATGAGCCGCTCAGAGCTGACTACAGGAAGAACTCCACCATATACACACGGACAGTTCTAGGATGCATCTCACCTTGGATATAAAAATTACACTTTCAGAATTTTAGTATTTATACATATACAAAATGGAATAATTACTCACCATAATTTATCTTAAATTCATCATTCTTAAAACTGTTACTTTTTCCTAATAAAATAAAAAATAAGCTGGGCACTGATGGCACACGCCTGTAATCCTAGCTACTCAGAAGGCTGAGATCTGAGGATCGAGATTCAAAGCCAGTCTGTGCAGGAAACTCTGAGAGACTCTTATCTCCAATTAAGCTCCAGAAAACCAGAAGTAGCACTGTGGCTCAAGTGGTAGAGCGTTAGCCTTGAGCTGAAGAGCTGAGGGACAGTGCTCAGGCCCAGAGTTCAAGCCCCATAAAGGACAAAAAAAAAAACAAAAAACAAAAATAAGTCAGTGGCAGTAGCTCATACCTCCAATTCTAGCTATTCAGGAAGCTGAGATCTGAGGATCACGGTTTGAAGCCAGCCTGACAGTAAAGTCTATGACAATTAATCATGGAAAAAGCTAGAAGTGGCACTGTGGCTGGAGTGGCAGAGTGCTACCTTGGGGCAAAAAGGAGTTCAGGGACAGTGCCCAAGCACAGAGTTTAAACCCCAGGACTGGCAAAACAAAACAAAAAATAAAAAGGTCTCAAACTGAACATCTGGAGAAAGAAAATATATCTGACTTGGGCTGGGAAGGTGGCTCAATGGTAGAGCACTTGCCTTGCATGCATGAGGCCCTGGGTTCGATTCCTCAGCACCACATAAGCAAAAAGAAAAAAAAGCCGGAAGTGGTGCTGTGGCTCAAGTGGTAGAACGCTAGCCTTGAGCTGAAGAGCTGAGGGACAGCGCCCAGGCCCAGAGTTTAGGCCCCATGACTGGACCCCCAAAAAAAAGAAAAAGAAAATATATCTGACTCAATGGATTAGACACTGCAAAATATCAGTGAATTTAAAACACAACAAAAGACACTATCCAAAATAAAACAGAAAAACTAGAAAACATCAAACATTTATTAGTGGGCTCTGGGACTTTAACTGGAAAATTTATATATAATCTGATTCCCTTCAGGAAAGGTGAGAGAAAAAGAAGAACAGAAAAAAAAAACCCTCTGAAAAAATAATAGCTGAAAAATTCTCAAATTTGGTAAAACATATAAACCCAGAGATCCAAATAAACTCTAACTCAAGAATCATAAAATCTAGCTGGGAGCCAGTGGTTCACACCTATAATCCTAGCTACTAAGGAGGTAGAGATCTGAGGATTGTGCTTCACAGCCAGCAGGGGCAGAAAAGTCCATGAGACTCTTATCTTCAATAAACAAAAAAAATCACAAAAACTATAGAACACATCATCATTACCATCTAAAGAACTGTCCAATTCAATGGATATAGTGGTGTTTTCCATAAATGTATATTGAATTTGGGACTCAGTAACATCTAAAAAAATTTCTCATGGAGACTAACAATAGTTGTTTTGTTGTTGTTGTTATTGTTAAAATAGTCATTCTACATTGCCCAGATGGGTCTCTAACTACTGGACTCCAGTGATCTTCCAGATCACCATACCCAGAATCAATAATAATTATTTTTTACTTCTAAAAACTCATCTTAAACAGCCTTTTAGGAAAATTTATGCTAAGACAGGGGAACAATCTAAACCATTTTATTCTTAGGCACTAACTTTTACAACATATGACTTTTGTTCCACTGGATTCCAATTCTGACCATGAAGGCAGAGACTATTCCATCAAGTAACAGCTTGATGAGCCAAATCTAAGCATCAGTGAGCACAAGATACTTACATGGACTTCTCTCTATACGAACTGTCTTAAGAATAGAGGTCTTTCTGGGGTCAGGCTTTGAGTTGATGAGTAGCCTGTTCAATATACCTGCAAACACACATACACTTAATTTACTATTGCACAAAAAAATAAGGGTGCTGGGCTGGAGCTGTAATTCAGTGGTACAGTACTTGTCTAGAAAGAATAGGGCCTTGGGTTTTATCCCCAGTACCACAAAGGAGGGGGAGGGAGGTAGGCCAACAAACATCCCAAGACCTGTAAGTCTTGACTATCCCCTATCCCACAAGATGTTAAAACAAAAAAAAGGCACTCCAAGTTGTAGTGCAACATTTGGTGGTTCGGGTACATCCATCTCCCCTTTCTCTGGTCCATGGGATCTCTGAAGACAGGATTTACAAAACTCAAGACTTTGCACGTGTCTTAAGGCCCAGAAAAGCCCTTCACTCTGTAGTACAAAAATCCTGTTCATCAACGACAGCTGAGGAATCACCTATTCAATTCAGGAATGGATTAGAATTAGACGCAGACTTTGAAGCCAGAAGGTTTAGGATCAAATTCAAGTTTTGCCACTTCCCAGCCAACCACAAGAGCTCCAGAAAGCCGCCTGTCTGTCTGTCACACACCCAGCCTCCGTTTCCCTTCTTCACAACGCAGAGAGAACAGAGGACTGGATCCGTTCCCTCCGGGGCCCAGCACGCGCTCCCAGCGTGGGCGCTCGCGACGCCGCCGCCGAAGCGTGCTGCGGACGCGGGGCCCTCCCGGGCTCAAGCACTTCTCCGCAGACCCCTCCTCACACACGTTCTACAGCCTCTGTGAGAGAGGAGTGGCGCCGGGATTCGAACTGAGGAGCGGGAGAGGAGCCTGAAGGCGGGTCTGGGTGCTGGGAAGGGGGCCGGGGTATCAGGCACCCCCCGCCAAGGCTCCGACCGCGCAGCCGACACCTCTCCCCGGCCCGCGACCCCACGGCGGCCCCAGCGCCTCGCGCACGGGAAGCACCCGTCTGCGGGGCTCGACCGCGTGGGTGCAGGGGGTGTGCAGGAGGGGGTGGTCCCCTCCACAGTGGGGACGGGGCACCGGGCCTCCAACCAGGAGCCGCCCCGCCGCGCATGCGCGCCCCACGGCCACGGCCCCCGCCACTCGGCCCTCACCTCCTCCGCCTTCGCTCCCCGCCGTCAACAGCTCTTTGGACACTGAGACCCTCGAGCAACCTTGAGTGGATGGCGAAGAGCTCGCTCCGGCCACGAGCTCGGTGTGGACCTCCATGCTTCCCGACAGCGTGCAGCAAAGCTCCCGGATGCAAGGACCGCGGTTCCGTTAGAGGGCGGAGGCAAATCAGCTATTGGAGAAAAATGGGGAAGGGGCGTGGAGAGGGGCGGAGCTGGTTGGGGGGCGAGGGGCGAGGCTAGCTACGAGAGGGCGTGGCTAGCGAGGCGGGGGCGTGGCTGGAGAGGGCCATACCCAGCCCGGAAGGACGCTTTGCTAGTACACCTGTGTTTACTGTTGTGGGTCTTATCTGGAAAGCGGTTGAGACTCCTGAGGTATTTTCATTAGAAAAAGTTTGCCAGGCTTGATTTAACTAAAAAATTATTTTTTTAAATCAAATGCCCTCCTTGTCATTCTTTGGTGATTCAAGGTTTCATGATGTTGCCCTGTAGCACCGGCTAGCCTCAGCTTGCAGAATGAATAAAGGCACATTCTCCATCACTCTGACACTCATCACAATAGTATTGACTGTTTAAAAGCATCGGTGTGCAACAGGTCTCTAGACCACTTTCATTTTGCAAAATTGGAATTCTGGGCTAGGGTGTTGTTGCTCGGTGGTATAGAGTGAGCTTAGCATTCAGAAGACCCTGGTTTGTTGCCTGGCACGAAAAATATTAAATCTTCTTCAAAACAGGAAACTGTACCTAAACATCTCTCAATTTCTCCCTCCCTCAACCCTGGGAACAGTCATTCTGCTCTCCATGAATTTGACTGTGCCATATAAGTCGGTTTATATGTTTAAGTGGTGGGCTTATACCACTTAAAATGTTTTCAAGGGTTACACATGCTAATGCATGTGAATCTCCCCTTCTTCCTTTTCTTCCTCTTCCTCCTTTTCCATGCTGGTACTGGGCTTAAACTCAGCACCACTCAAGGCCGGTGTTCTAACACTTGATCTGCACTTCTACTTCTGGCTTCTTGCTGGTTAATTGGAGATAAGTGTCTCACTGACTTTTCTGCAGCAGCTGGCTTTTAACCATTATCCTCAGCTCTCAACCTGCAGATTACAGGCAGGAGTCACCAGTGCCCAGCATGCTTTGGTATTCTAAGTATTATGCTCATTTTATCCAATGGCTGTTATAGAAAGAACAGAAGGGAGTTATCCTAGTTAAAAGAAGACAGTAAGTGCAAAGTCTAGAGTCAGTAACTTCTGGGCAGGGTTGATGGAGACCCATTGAGCAAGCAAGATCAGCAGACTTCTGGGTTCTCAAAGCTACCTCCTACTAGGAATAGGGCTTGTTAGCAGCATTACCTGTATTAGTGGAAAAACTCAGTAGGGACCTATCAACTGGGAGCTATAAGAGATACAAACGTCACACTGAATTGATTTCAATTAGCCAAAATTTCTCCAAGTAGTTCCTTCTGCCTGGCGTGCTCTTTCTTCCCTTTCTGATTATCTTCATTTTACTGATATGGAATGTTAGGCACACTCAGGAAAAATATCAATTCTTCACCAGTCAAATAGGGGACATAATCGTACCTAAGGTAGAAAGTTGTTGTGAGGACCGGGTTCATGTGCAGAGCAGTGAGCCCTCACTGGATGACTCCTGTTGTAGCCAAGCAACCCCATCCTTCTTATAGCTGAACCAAAACCCCTCAGAGCATCCATAATGTCTGTCCTTCTCTCATACCCTACATTGAACATTTTAGCTGATCCTGCCTTTTTTACTTCTATCCTCAAACAGGTGAATCCATAGCCAGCTTCTTACTATTTCCTATGTTGCCACTCTGTTCTGGGCCACCATCCCCTTACCTGAATTGTCAGCTTTCCACAGGGCTTTCATTGAACTCTAAGCAGAGTTGGCCACATCCACTCAGACCCTTTCAGTGTCTCTATCTCAGAATCAAAGCCAAAAGCTTTACTATGGCCTATCAGTCACTTTTCTGATGCACTTGCTACCATCTCACTACAAACAGGACTCACTAAGCTTGTGTTCTCTCTTTCTCTCTCCCTCCCTCCATCCCCCCCTCTCCTCTTATATGCCCTGTTCCTCTCTTCCTCCCTTCCTTCTCTTCTTCCTCCAGCTGGAAAGTGAACCCAGAACTTCTTATATGCTAGGCAAATACTCTACCACTAAACTATTTCCCCAAGCCTATTTTCAGTTTCCAGAACAGAATACAAACACTTCTGTCTTAGGGCCTTGGTGTTTGTTGTATTCTTTCCACTGCTCTCTTGCTCCTTCTGCTCAAACTCAGTGTCCCTAGATTACTCCAAATAAAACAGACTTCTCCTCAGTCTCCCTACTCCTGCCCCCCAAACTCTCCACCTCCCTAACTCTGCTTTCTTTCTGTAGTAGTTATCACCATATGGCTATACAATACTCTTTACTTGCTTATTGTCTTTCCCCACTTCAACAGGATTCTGCAAGGCAGATGTTTATTTTGATCTCTACTGTATTGCCAGAACAGAGACTGGGAGAATAACACTTAATTAAGTGCTCAATAAGTATTTGTAAGCAAATGAATGATGACACATATTTGGCATGCAGGAGTTGCTTCCTGAATGTACAAATAAATGTTCTAGATGCTTTCAGGATGGATACTGATGGTGGGGGTGGGGACAGAAACTAGGATATATGTAGAACATTTGTCCTCAGGCCTGCATGTCTTCTGAATGATAGCTTTTTTTAATGCTTGAAAGGGGAGCACATTAGGAGATTTTATTTACTTTTAAGTAGTTTATATCGTGGTGTATGAGCCTCAGTGAATACCAGAAGCATTCACAAAGATCCTTATTTACTAGTCTGAGGGGAGGCTTGGGTATTTGACTTTTTGTATGTCTCTGTTCAAGGCTCAGGCTGGCTTTGAACTTACACTCTTCTTTCCTTGTCTCTTGAGTGCTGATATTACAGAAGTTCACCATGGCTGGCTGGAATTTAACTCTTGGTTCCTGCATATGAAAACTGGAGTTTTAATACCATCTTCATAGGTTTTAATGATTAAGTAATCTTTGTAAAGTATATCACACAGGAAATAGTACTCTTAAAGCTCAGAGAAGCTGGGTACTGGTGCCTCATGCCTGAAATCCTGGATACTCAGGAGGCTAAGATCTGAGGATCATGGTTCAAAGTCAGCCTGGGCAAGAAAGTCCATGAGACACTTATCTCCAATTAACCACCAGAAAACTGGAAGTGGCGCTGTGTCTCAAGTGGTAGAATGCTTAACCTTGAGCTGAAGAGCTGAGAGACAATGCCCAGGCCCAGAGTTCAAGACCCATTACTGACAAAAAAGAAAAAAAAAGAAGATGAGAGATTATGTCCTTACAAATAAGTATTGTTACTTTTATTCTCTTAATACTTGTTCTCATAAAATTTAGTTTTGATTTTATCTCAGTCTAAATCTCTTGGATAAAGGCATAGCTAACTCAGTAACAGAGAGTATGCCTAGCATACAAGAGACTCTCGGTTTGATTCCCAGCAAAATACACACACACACACACACACACACACACACACACACACACACACACACAATTACATATAATCTTAATCCAAATGTTTACTTTTATTCCCATATTTATGTTCTATACATACATATACTCAGAGCAAGTAGCCATGGCTCATATCTGTAATCCTACCTACTCAGGAGGCTGAGATCTGATGATCAAAGTTCAAAGCCAGCCCAGACAGGAAAGTTTGTAAGCTCCAAATAGCCACCAAGAAAAAAAAAGTTGTGTCTTAAATGATAAAATGCTAGCCTTGAGCAAAAAAGCTCAGGGACAGTGCCCAGCTCCAACCCTGATTTTAAGAACCAGAGCCAGCACACACACGCACGCACACACACACACACACGCACGCACACACACACACACACACACACACACATACACACTCTCTCACAGAATCCTATTTGAATGATATTGAATGCAGTATATCGAAAGCAACCCCAGCTGGGCAGCTGGGGCTCTCATGTGTAATCCTAGCTAATCAGGAGGCTGAGATCTAAGGACTGAAGCTCGAAATCCGCCCTGGGAGAAAAGTTCATGAGACTCTTATCTCCAATTAACCACCAAAAAGCTAGAAGTGCAGGTGTAGCTCAAGTGGTAGAATGCTAGCTTTGAGCAAAGGAGCTAAGGGGTAGTGACCAGGCCCTGAGTTCAAGCCCCAGTACTGGCACACACATAATATAGAAACTCAAAAGTGGCCTCTTCTGACCTCTTCCTTGTGAAATGAGGTTCTCTGACAAAGTTTTATCAGTATTGAAGAATTTGCAGGCTACTTGACCTTGGCTGGGTTGAATACTTTGATTGTGGAGAGATGGAATGTGGTAGGTCAGAGGCCAAAATTATCATGGGCTATTTAAGGCCATTTAATACTCAATTACCTTAGCCTTTGTATCTGACCTCCCATTTTCCTGGGAAGGTTCTCAGAATGTATCTCTAAGTTTACCAAACCTCTTGCTTCCACCAAGCCAAGAATACCATTTCAGAAAAATTTCTGTACCTCGCTAGAGCCTGCATATCTGATGTCCCCGCCAATGTCACTGGTAAATGTATTGATTTATGACTTCTACTCTGTGAGTATAAAAGTTCATTTGACCTTTACCCATGGTGCAACATGTCAATAAGGGTAACTTGAATCTCTGTTCCCTAAGCTATGGGCCAATCATATTTGGCTCAAAATAAATATTATCTTAATTTCTTTCAAAGTAGAGTCATTGCCTGACGTCCAAATCATCTACATTTCTCACTTCAGAGAGTGGCATAAACCGAAGTGAGACGCTCAGGAGTCATTCTGACACAGTTTTCCCTTTACCATCACCTGCAAAATGGTCATCACATACCCCTGCTGGTCCCTCCTCATCCATTTTCTTTCTTTCTTTTCTTTTTTTGTTGGTCATAGGGCCTGAACGCTGTCCCTCAGCTCTTTAGCTCAAGGCTAGCCCTCTACAACTTGAGCCACAGTGCCACTTCTGGCTTTTTCTGCTTATGTGGTGCTGAGGAATTGAACTCAGGGCCTCATGCATGCAAGGCAAGCACTCTACCACTGAGCCACCTTCCCAGCTCCCCTCCTCTTCGTCCATTTTCTACATTACAAACAAGTATCCCCT